CTGTTTTTTTTTCTTCAGATTTATATAATCTATAGTAATTACAGTTAAATACCATTTTATTTTATTTTCAGACATTTCAGCACCCCCAATATTTGGGTTCTAGTTGCGCCCATGATTACACCTAATAAATAAACGATTCTAACATTCGAGTTAAAGGATGAACATGTCTTTTATAAAATGTAATTTTTTATGGATAGCATGAATAATTTACTGCTTTAACCAAAATAATACAACGAATCTAATATATTTATATATATGCGTAACCAATCCCTGGTCTTAACGTTTAAAATACTATGTAAATGTTGGATTATACCTTCGACATTTCGAAGTATATAAATTGGTCATCCACGATAATTCTATGTGTCTAATTGTTAAATATATAATAATCATTTAAAAGTTTAATTACTATATTAAACAAAAAAAAAAAAAAAAAAAATGTAAAAAAGCAATTTTTTTAAAAAAAATTAAATATAAATAAATAATTTATAAAAATTCAAATCATGAGTAATAGCTTGAAAAATATCATTAGTATATGTATATAGATACTACATAAAAAATATAATTGTTGCATTTTTGTAATTTTTTTTTTTTTGCGTTAAAAATGACAACTATTTGATCCTTGATAATTTTAATTACAGTTTCATCCTTTTTTTAATGCATGAATAAATGTCCTAATATTTTGCTTAATACATTTCATTCATAATTGCAAAATTGCTTTGTTGTTTAACCTCGCCACCTTAGTAAATCATCTTAAAATAAATATTTAGTGTTCAAACATTTACGAATTTCTATAAAAAATAATGGTTGTCCATCACAAAGTATCCAAAATGTTGATAAAATAATTTTAGATGGAAAAAGTATTGATAATTTAATACAAAGTTGCTCATACAGTTTTATTATTCGTAACTTGTGTGAATAAATATCGAAATTATAGGCCGTCCAGTGAGAGAACGCAACTACTTCGCGCATATGAAGTTCCCCCACCACGCCGCGACCGGTGTTATCGCTATCGATAATGGTCGTCAAGCGTGGTGCTCGGGCTGGTAAAGTGGTGAGAATGCGCAAAAATTGACGGGTTTTGGTCACCGCCCAGATGCGTTCTCTCACTGGACGCGGTGTAGAAAACTAAATTATTCGAATTATCCCAATGTATATAGGTATTCGAAGTAGTTATTTTGTTTTCTAAAAAATATTTTCTATAAGTAATTGAAATATAAATTGAATGTTTAGACTAGAATTAAAATTATATATATTAATATATTATATTGTAGTAATAATTTTAACAGAAATTCAATTAATTAAATCGAAATACAGAAAATTATATGTAAGAATAACCATTTATATGCAAATGTTATCATAAGTATACTTATACTACCTAATGATAATTTATCTTTAGATTTGTACAAGGAATAGTCCAATCATCGTCTCAGAATCGTTTTTTGAAAACAGTAGTACACTGTACACTGATTTAAAATGTATAGAAAAACATTAATTCACCTACATCAGTTACCCGCTCTCGTATTTCACTCGACTCCTGTATTCTAGACCTATTATTCTCATCACTTTTTTTTTATATGCACTGAATTCGTACACGTCGAAAAGTCATGTGTCCAATTCGTAGTGCGCCAAAATGACCGCATCAAATTGACGGTAAGTACACGGGTACACCTATAAATGTCGTCATGCGTCGATACCCGATGTAGTCGACATGTATACTCTATACTTAGACTTGTTTACCTGTCATTCAGTATAAATTATCACTAATGGGAGAACATAGGTTTCATATGTTTTCGATACTATACACAACGAATGTAAAAATCGTTAAAATTTAACGTAGAACATAGGCGTGCGCAGGGGGGTATGCAGGGTATGCAACTGCAGGCTGCGACACGATTGAGCATAAAACACCTTTCTTGCGACACGATTGAGCATAAATTGTCGGCGTATCAAAGGAAATTGAAATACAAAAGAAAACCAACACGATTGAGCATAAAAAACTCTGCAACGTTGCCATTTTCAATTTTGAACTGTATCCGGAACTAATTTATTAATCGATAACATTGTCGATAAAATTTATAAAGCCGATAAAGCTCACGGCTCGCGTCAGATATCATAATAATTGGTGTAATAATACGAGAAAATAATAAATTACAAAATTTTGGCAACGTGAATGTGGCAACGTCGCATAAAATATTCTATGCTCAATCGTGTTGCTAAAAAGGTCTATGCTCAATCGTTTTATGCTCAATCGTGCTTTACCGCAACTGCATACCCTAAACATAGAGCCTTCTTTCTAAAATTACAACAAATAAATAAAAATTATAACATATTTAGTCTTATGTATATTATGTGATTTTGTAGTACATTATGATTTTTATTATATTTTTATATTTAATCCTAGATAGTTTAATTTATTTTTGAAACACAAATCATATGCTATAACGATATAATGTGTTAATGAAATTAAGAAGTATAATAATTCAAGCGAGATTAAATAGCTTTCAACTACAGAACAAGAATTGACTATAAATTAAAATCCCGAAAACATTATTGGTGATATTAAGAATTCAACTGTAATCGTTTTATGATAAATTTTGATTATTTATCAAATTTATTTTGTTTTTCATTTAAGTATATAATAACGTTTTTATTTTTTTTACCCTATTTAAACGTATTACTAAAACCATTTCAACTGTTATGTATTTAATTATTTTCTTCGTAATTTATTTTAAATTTTAATTATGAAGACAGTTATAACGATTAAGAAATGGCTATTCAATCACTTTTTTCAGGAAAAAAAATTAAAATTTTAAATTAAATAGTTATTAAGACCAGAATTTCGAACGCTTAAATTAATTTTCAGTTTAGGGGAGGGGTGGTAGACAGTGGCCGCCTTTTGTATACCCTTAAAAAGAGGTCTGCGCACACCTATGACTTAGAATGCTAACGATCCTTGTTCATTATGATTTGTGTTGAAAAAAAATCTTTAAATATATAAATGATACATCTATAATTATCATAATTGATAAATTTATACGTAAATAGCACAACAGCACATTTATTAAATTCTCATACACTTGTTTTTTATTTCTACGTCTAGAGAAATGCACACGTTCTATCTATATTATGTCACTTAGTGTTTTCTCCAGTAAACAAATGTCTCGCTAGGTAAATAGTCATTATTTTTCATCTAACCCATTTGGATTTAGTATTCAGTAATCAACTGCGAGGTTTTCCCAGTATATGCGAAACACCCAACAAGCCATACGACCATGCCAAGCCCTAGCCCTTCAAGCCATTGCCGTAGTAAACCGGTTTGAAAAGAATGGCAAACATCAATACATTATGATAAGATGCTGCAGACTAAACTGAGGTTCCATCGTATTGTGGAGTACGTGTGAATAATGAGCCGGTCAGTTACCCAGGTTGGATTATGAACTGAGCTACAAATCATTCGGAAAATATTTTTAAACGACATTCACAGTGTCTCGAGGTAGGTAAAACAACGAGATGAAATTACCGATTACGTATTACGAGATTATAATAATCAAAATTAGGAGGTATATAGTGACCAAGTAAATGGTCGACCACGTACTTTGTCCTTCATTTTTTAATTTTTTAATTACATTTTCGTTCGCATTTTATCGATAAATTAAACGTTTGAAAAAATGTATAAGACATTATTACCGCTTAAAGTTCTGTCCGGTAATCCGAGACCATGTACCATGTAGTCTAATGTACACATAAACGGTTTAAATATCAATCGAGATTTTTGAATCTGTAGTGCATTGATAGAGTGCAATATTAAAAACTATATTATAAAAATGTTAATCATTTTTTTTTATGATTTATCAGATTATAAAAAAATAGTAAAAACGATAAATTCACCGTAGGTTAAAATGTGAAATTAATATTACCATTACAGAGTGGCGATGGTAATATAAGTATACGCGCACGTTGCAGTCACCGTACCACAAAATGATAAATCGCCGAGACGTTATTTTTATCGCGTGTCACGGGTAGAAAATGTAATTCGAAAGCGATGACGAAGGGTAAGGTAAGACGTAATGGCACTACGATATTTTATCATCCGTTTAGTATTTAATCGTAAGTCGACTGGAATAATAAAAGATGACACCCGACCACGACATGGAACAATACAGATTTATATATTATTCGCACGCAATCCGATCGATTCCGTTGAATTCGTCGTTAAACAATATTTTCGCAAATAACTGCAATTATTCTCGTTTTAACCTTCATAACCGAGCTCTGTAGTTTTATCATTGTTTTTGACATCAACGAGCGTGTTGAACCCGCCGAATGTACATGTTCGTGATCGGTCCTGTTTTTTTATGTTATTTTTATTTTCGTCCGTTCAGTGTCCCATAACTCACGGTGCGGCTGCGATTTGAAAACGATTTAAAAATCGGTATAACCGGTTGCCAAAAACGATATCGTACCCGGCGACGAGGTGTGTTCTACGAGATTCGAGCGTGCGCTCGGACGACGCGTCGGCCGGAGGAGCCGTTCTCGCCCAGGGATAGGGAGAAATTTGCCGAACGGCAAGACCCGTCGTCGAACGACTGAACGCACCACCCGTCCGTTAAGCGCGCGCGAGAAACGGACACGAAAATGGAAAAAAGCGACCACGACGTCCGAAATCGTAATGATAACGCGCGGGCGACCATCTGCGCGTACCCGCGTGGGCGCCTCGTCCACGTAATCGCATTCACCGCGCGCATAAAACATAAATAAAACGTGTACGGGTGTACAAAACGCGCGGCGTACACGCGCACACCGATGCACGTATTTTGAACGTACGTGTGCGTGCCGCTGCCGCCGACCGGTTTGCGGGGAGGAGGAAGCGGTCGCGAGCGAACAGCTCGTCGCGGTTTCACACGCGCGTCTGTACACCGGCGGCCGTCGAGGCGACAACGAGACCGCGGACGACCAGCACCCATTTGGCTCCAGCGCGAAGACACCCGACCCGCAGCGAAATGAGGGCAACGGCTATTCTCGCCGCTCTTGCCGGCGCCGTGCTGGTGATCGGCGTCCGCGTCCACGCTGCATCCGTTGACCACGGTACGTACACATTGCGATTTAACAATAATCCGACCGGAAACCGATTGTTCCGGTGTTGCGCGTCCGGTAAAGATCTGTCGTCGCCCTTGTTTTCCCTTCGCACCTGAATCGCTGAGTTACCGCGGTTTTTACCCACGAACCGTTGTCGCCCGATCCGAATACCGTACGTCGCGGTGTAGGTGCGTGACACGAATTACGAAAAAATATTAAAAAAAAATAATCCGTCTAGATGATCATTTACTCGACCGGAGGTACGCTGTAAAAATGCTGACCACATTTTTTTTTTACTCAATGTACGTAGTATATATGTAGTCGTGTTTTTACTTTTTAACGTGTGTCAGTGTCGCACGTTCTTAAAATTGACGATTTATGTGTATAATAATATTTTATATTGTATAACAAGTAGTTATAAAAATTTTATTCGTGCATACGCTGTATTACGAAATATGTAATATTCGTTTTTCGAAAGTAAAATTAGGTCCTTCTAGGTTATAATGAAACAAGTCCGACTGCCGACTGGCGTTTTTGTTGGGGGATGAGACACCCCCCAACACTCCCTTCGGGACGGCCCTGTGTAACCTTGCAATGGTTTTTATATTCCCTAGCATCGACGTATACATCATATCCACGTGATTGACCTGACGATTTATCGAGTTGCATATAATTTATGGTCCAACGCATTCATTACTACTAATGTACTGCAACACAATTCACCACTACTTACGTGCATTATGCATATATGCATATGCTTGTAGGTTGTTTTGAATCCACTACATAACATACGTCGTGGTTTCGCATGAGTGATGTAAAGATCTTCTGAAATTAATTAATAGGTTAAACTCTATTGTTTCGATATTCACGTACTCATATAACTCCACGTTCATAAATGATCGTGACCGTCCGTAAAAGGAAACGTAAAATCTAATACATTTTACCATCATATTTTGAACTTGTACAGTTACCAAAAACGTTTCTCCGTTTCGTCTTCTGAAATACATTTAGGAGTTTAACCAAAACAATTTCATAGGAATTTAATAACACGTTCTATGCAAATCACCGATTTTTATCGTTCGATAACTATTAATATTTATTACAATTTGCCCGTTTTAGTAAATAAAATACTTGTATCATGAATCATATGATTCACGACAAATTTATACCCATTGGTTTTTACTAATAACTTATTAGCTATAGTGAGATGTAACACACACACCAAATAAGCATGGTTGGTTTGCATTGGGAACAATAAGACTAATACTTAGTACCTGTACACAATATAGTATTACACATTGTCTATCGAATCAGCAATAGGTACTTAAAATATACATAATTTATCTATGGTTTGACTTTAGTATCCTGCAATCTTTTAGCTGTATCACGTAACATTACATCGTTCATTAATTTAACCTATTGCAAGTTCCTTTATACATTTATTTTCGATTGGCTTGTATGTATCTAATACTAACTATGATATGCAGTAAAATATATTAATATTTATTATCAAAACATATCCCGAAGTAGAATATAATTAATATGACAAGCATGACGTGCAGATCTCAACTTTTAATTATAGGTATACATAATTTATAATTTTATTCATTGTACTTGTACAAATAACTTACAGGCAATAAAACACTACTTTTCGAATATTACGAATAAAATATTAATATGTAATTTAAATATATTATGTATTTTATATTTATCATTTAAAATATAAAGTTTGTAAAATATATAAAAAAAAGTACAAGTACCTAGAATATAATAGTACATATTCTATTCTATAGGAACTTCTTTAACCATAAAAACTAAATCTAAAAAATTTAAAATATTTATTTGTTGGCTGCTATAGATTGAAAATATAAAATATGTTGTAACAACTAACTAACTAAAAATCTGAGAAACTTTATTTTTTCAAAAACTTCTTTTTTTTTTTTTAACATTAATATCAATAAAAACCTATATAAAAATAGTGTTATTTATTAATATTATATAAATATTAATTAAACAACCGTCATTTTCATTACTCAAATAAATTATTATGTTTTCTAAATAAAAAATTATATAATTATAATTTATATTTATTTTTTTTTTATAAAATCGTACATGTATATAAACCTTATTCAGTACCTACCTATATTATATGGACAATTAAAAACAGTCATTTTTTTATCAAGAAATAATGAAATTTCGAAAGAAAAATTTAGAACAACTTGTTTAAAACTTTTAAGTAAAATATTATATATAAATATATACATACATATTAAAGGAATATTAAAAAAATCAAATCTTTTATAAAAAACAAATTAATTATGAAATATCTTGTTTGTATAGAATATAATTTATTACCTGTACCTGTAGTGTTGGATTTCGAATGTAGTCTTTTCATGCATTACTTAATATGGAAGATAATAAAACTGTTAAAATAATAATATGTAAGAATAATCTTAGTTCAATTTTCAATGGAAATAAAAGTGAAGAAACTAGTTTTTGGTTGACTTCGATCCGAACTCTAAAACATATTAAACCATTACTTTATTACGAAACTTAGTTGAGTTATTATATTGACAAAATAGTAAATCACAGTGTAGCTTACGTATTATATTATCTAAACGATTATAAAATGTAATAGCTTGGGCCAAATAATTCTCGATGATATTTACTTTTAACATCTATATTGTGATGAAACAAATATTTTATAAAAAATTTTAAACGTAATTTATTAAAACATGATTATTAATCACATTGTACATACCAAAAACATTTAAATTACTTCCATATTCAAAATACCAGAAAAAATAATGTAAAACAATCATTTGTATGGTTACATCGTAGTAATAAGCAATTCACATGCTTTAAACATACAAAAAATTATAACAATTTTTCTCAAGAGCTGTATGTAATGTAGGGTGGTGTTGAGAAAAAAATAAAAATCCCTGGTCAAGCTCTATCCATGATACTTTCACTTTTAAAAGATATTTAAATTTAATCGTTTAATTATAAAATTGTAAACAGAGTAAAACCGTACGTGGGTCCCATGGGTTGACGGTTGTACCGTGTACCAAGAATACATCGTTTACTTTTAGCACACTCGACTGGAATACTAGTGTAGCCTACATTGTGTAATATGGAATAATAGTGAACGTGTGGGCCTTTAATTTGGAATAAACCGAGCAAATACTTTACGTGTACAATAATCACCCATAGATGATTGTAGATGGCCGATTGTGTCGTATAAAATATAAATCATTGGCGCGTATGACGGTCCGTTTAACGCGAGTATGCGTGTGCCGTACGACGCGTATACATGGGCGTGTGGGACAATACGAATCAGTGAACGTACTACAGTTGATTTCGCTGTTTTTTTTAATGAGCAAACGTTTACAATGCGATTAACTGTTTCGTTCTTTGGTGACATCGGTGTGCGTAACCATTGGATTTTGCCCAATGGTTAAATCATACGTGCGCCGACCTCGACGTATCATTGAAATCGAGTTAAAAGATTTCTAGTCGTACAAATCACTATACGATCGGAACAAGATTTCATTGCAGTATTATGTGTTCACAGGGGCCACGAAAGCTGTGGAGGAAGCAGTTACTAGCGACAAGTTCACAATAGTGATCCACGACGAAGGGCCGCCCAACGGACGGAAGCGTCGCAAACCCGAAACCGTAGCCACCATCGAGTTTCCCGGTTACTATCAGTTTGCGTTGAAAATCGACAGGACCGAAGGACAAGGTATATTACATTATTCATATTCCTTGATATTTGATACTGTTATTATGCAGAACTCGTAACGGTAACAAAAAAAAAATAATAAATAAAAAAAATAGTTACAATAATAGTAATAATAACGGACGTAATAAATCTTTACCCTAAAACCACTGTCGCCGTTGATCGTACTAGGTGCGTAGGTATACCATAAACCGCGTGTAGGCTTGTCGTATTTAATCCGATATTCCGATGTTCGATGATCTAAAAATTTTTCATATATTATCGCATATGGAAATCAATAGCATCGTATTTGCGTACATACAAACTTACCGCATTTTTTTTTTTAAACATTTTTAAATTACTAACTACATGGACTGCATTGATTTTTATAGAAACGATATCTGCATGTATTATGCAGACATAGGTCACGTACACTTGTATTGAGTTACTCGTGTTTTGTAGGCGTATTATATTTTATATAGATGAATAACTTAATTTAACCATAAATAAGCATATTTTAATATTAATATTCATTTAATAAAATGTATCAATTTCATATAAAATCTTTGTTCTATAGTTTTCGATAAATTTAAATCAACATTCAATGATTTTTCAGTTTGATTATTTATTAGAAAAATATAATTTTAAATATTACAAAATATAATATAAAAATATGATAAAAAAGAAATATTTAACGAGTTTTAATATTCTTTAACTAGATATTAATCCAATATTATTTTATGGATCCAAAACCGTTAGTTCCAAAAATGGCTTATGGCTTATTTATATATTTTAGACCAGTTGACCACATTATTTAAATGAGTCACCGGGTAGTAGACGATTTTAATACCATAACAGGAATTGATTTTTTTTTTCGTACACCAATATCATAGTATATCTCAGAAATATTAAAGTAATAAGTAAAAATTAGATACAACAATAGCTGTATTATGCAAACTAAAACATATTTATTCCACAAATGATCATATTTTCAACGTTATATATTTCAGTTCAAATATTCTTTAGTAAAATAAAAAATAAACTTTTTATTCATAATTATTGAAGAGTACTGATTATTACCAAATACTTCATAAAATTGTATTAAAGTGTACACGTTTTTAAACATTTAAGTTGATTATTAAAAATCGAACATTTTTTAATCAATGTAAGTGAAAACCTATGTAGATTGAGACTTGAAACTGTTAACATACATTTATAATATTAATATTTAATCTTAAAATTATTTTCAACAATTAAGAGGACGTCACAACCACATGTGTTGTTTATGCCCAACAAACGTACAACGTCGATTTTTTTCTGATACTTTAATTTTTAAACAAGTTAAGAGTATGTAAAATATTACAGTAAAAAAAGAACTTATAATTCCCTATAAAAATTAAAATATTGGAAAAACTAACCAACAAAATACAGTTTATGTTTTTCCCTTAAAGTTTGATTTAGGTAAGTTTACTCCAATATTAAAGTTTATATTATTAAATTTGAACTACTGAACTCAAATTTACTATGTGGTACGTGTGTTGAGCGGAAACACATTTTCAAAAATATTTAGTTACATGGATACATCGACGAGTACAATTGAATTATATTTTACATAAATGGCTGAATTTTGTTCATATATATATGCATTTTCATTATGAGTAAATATCTAATACTATGTATTTATTGATATATACGAATGACGCATCATCTAAGCATCTTTCAATCTTTTGATAGAATCTATCAATATCAAAAAAAAAAAAAAAATTGAGTAACCAACTAAGGAAAAGGATAAAAAAAATAGTGATCGGTAAATTCCTTCAAAGATCCAGTTAGGCATACGACCTTAAAAGGATAAACCACCGGACAATCCCACGACATCTCGTGCATTATACTAGCCTATTAAAGTTCTTGACGATCGACAGACAGAAAAAATTCACTACGTGAGTGTGGTGAGGAAAAATACAAATAAATAGTTTCCGGAGAAGTCTATTGTCTAGACCGTAAATAACCTCGGATTATAGTGTAATTTGAATAACATATAAAGTATCACACTGAACTGACAGCATATAAAATACATAAAACTTGCATGTTATTTCAATACTTAATGTATTCAAAAATAACAGTGGGAAGAATCGTTCTATTTTGAGTTAACTATTATTGCATATATGCATTAATAATAATTCAGGAATTATATATAATACTTAAAAATCAAATGTTATTTTTTAATTTAGAATTCACATTATGACTTTTTATAAATATTTGGGTGTGTCTTATTACGTATTCAATAAAATTATATTTAATTCATAATTCAACATTTTTCAGTAATCGTATCAACTAAGTTCGATGGTGACATAGACACTGAGTATTATAATGTGAAATCGTTGGGTAATATGTCATCGTCAAAGACTCTTGTGTTGGCTGTAGACCAAAGAAAACCAGGTGCTACAATGACGTTGTACGTTAACTGCGAGCACTTTGGTACCTTGCACACGATCAAAACCCTTCGAGAAGTGTATTTTGACATGAAAGATCCTCATTTACAAATGGTAAGTTGGTTTATGCTGTTAATAAAATAAAAATTTAAAAAAACCTTTTTAATAAAATGTATTAACATTAAACAAGTTATTATACTCGTATACTTTTTTAGCATTATACTTTTATTTATTATACTCGTGTATAAGAAATTGGAATCAGCATTTGTAATTGTAGTGCTAAATAATTTTCAATAAAAACTCCAATAAAAAAAGAGATTTGTTGTTTAACAATGTGTATACATAATTAATTTAAAAGCACTAGATTTTGCTTATTAAATAAATAAATGTTAAATACCTATAGATATATTTTAATTCTTAACGCATAAATGCGTTTTTAATTTTCGTAAATAATCTTAAAACTCATTATCATTATTTCTATAACAAACCACATGAATAAACTTATTATTCATTCATATTTAAAATGTATAAGGTTAATGCGACGAATATAACATTCTAATGTTAATATTATTTATAATGTAACTATAATTTTAGTTACATTATAAATAATATAGATTTTAATTATGGGATACCAATTTAATTTAAAAATAAGTACTAACATGCATTATTCACATTAGACACTACACAGATTTTTACCAGACATAACCATAAATAGATTAAACAAACATATGGTAATGTATGATGTTCGTATTTTGTAATTACTTTTCTGAAGTAGCTAGCAATTACATTATTTCCTTATGCAATTATAATTTATATCCTTTAAATCATCGTGAAACATATATGAAAACAAACACCACATACGCATACTAATACTTACGATATGTACGATCTTACATATCCATATAGAAAATATATTGTAAACATTAGAACACGTGTTAAGGAGTAAAGTATAAGCAGTAAACTGTGTATTACTATTTAGTGTACGAACGAGCTCTGACTGCCTTCCGCTGAAGTAAACAGAAATCAGTTTTTTTAAATTTCTACTTCAAAAAATAAGCAACAAAAACAAAACTTAATTTTATAGAGGCTTACAAAAATATTGTTTGTATACCCTTGTTGTAACTTTTGTCGACTACAGCCAGTTGTCCGTCTACACTTACAGTTTTATTTCTTAGTACTCGTATACCAAACAGATAAATATAAACACATACGTTCGTCTATACACAACACATTTTTTTAGTAAAACATAACTGAACCACGTGTCTTTTTGTTTGTAATAAAACATTTTTTTGTAAACGATTTTATTTGATCACACGATTTTAAATGGCATATAAATTTTAAAAGTTGTCTGAATTTAGTCAGGGAAGTCGTTTTCAACGTTTTCTTCCATTACCTTTTACAATACAAATCGCACCAGTTATATCATGACCAATATTTTAAATAATTTAATCTATATTACATTTTATTTATAGACGCACGAAAAAAGATTTGAAATTCAAGTGTTCCCCGACACAGATTGGAAGACTACTTTGTCGGCTAACAAGTGTCCTACTAATGATGATAGCTCAGACGTGGAACAGATGCCTGCGATGCAACCACTACCAGTCACCGAAATCGGAATTAAAATGCCGAGTATCGGAAGGGGTAAATGTTCTAAAGCACAAAAATGTATAAAAAAAACTGTTAATAAATTAAATCACATTTTATAATTCATAGGTGATATTCCGATAAATCATGACTGTGACGGTAAGTAACCCGAAAACTATTTCCCAACAGTACCATGCGAATATAAATACAATATTTTATATTTTATATTTTTAGACTTGTTTTTCGTAAAAACCATACAAGAGCTGATGCAAATGGTAAAACGACTCAAAGAAGAAGTCGAAGCTCAAGTAAGTAGAATGAAACAAGAAAAACTGAAATAATATTTACCTACTGTTATTAATTCAGTTAATGTTTTATACAGCGACTCGAGATTTATAAGCTCCGCCAATTATTAGAGCAGTGTGACGATTTCTGCAGGCCAGGTATGAGGAAAACGTAGGCTCACGGTGATCCAGGGCTGGACTTCGATTCTAGTTATTTAATTTATATAATTTAATAATTAGTAGCTTACCTGAAAAGTGACCATTATTTTTTATATTACTAACTTCTCATTAATATACATCAAAGTCATATCCAGTGAATTAATCGTTTGTAACCAATTGCACCGTTGTGTTTTTTTACCCAAATAAATTTTTTTTATTTTATTTTTTTACAAAGTATTATTTTTTCAAATTTATCACCCAAGTCCAGCCTTGGTCAGCGTATCAATGTATATACAATTGTGGAGTAGTATGTATTATTTATAATTTGTAATATTTTCGTCCAAGGCTGGTCTTTGGGAATACCTTTAATACCTACTCACGCGTACATAGATGATAAATGTTATTATCGATAATAATTTTGCTTTGAAAAGTGTTAAATTTTTCAGAAGATAACTTCAAAACTCAATTCTTTATTTTAATAATTTTATATTTTTATATTTTATCAAATGATAGGATTATATAAAAGTTTTAGAGCAATTTTTCTATCAGAAAAAAATAACTTACAAATATATAACTAATCTAGTCTATACAATTGGTAAAAACAATATGTTAATTTTAAATTTATTCTCATAAAACTTTTTTGTATTTAATAAAAAATTTAAAGATTTGAAAAATAATTATAAATAATCTTACAAAATGTTTAAATCATTAATTTAATTAGGAAAATAAATTAATTTAATATACTTCTGTGACTTGGAAAATATATGATTCAATGCAGTGATATAATTGAAAAATTTGGAACTGATCAGATAAAATTTCAAAATATATAGTTTTGCCTTTCATTTGTACAACTATAACATTGTTGAAAAATGGATACCATGTTTTATAAGGAAATTAACAAGACAAATGTTGGTGTTACTCGAGACAATATCAAGTATGGTACAGCTTATGCGCATGGAAATGTATTAATTATCTTAATATAAAAGTATAAGCGGAACGAAATCGTGAATTTACTGTTTAAAATCTATTAAATGTTTTAATCTATTATTTAATCTTGAATTGGAAAACATTGAAATAAGACTGCTTTACAAATATTTTAACGGTGCACTACAGTCTACAATAATACACATCAACTTAAGCCACTATATACATGCATAAATCATTAACATATTATTAGAAAATAAATCAATGTAAAATATTTAGAAAACTATAAAATGTGGTTTTAAAGCACATTTTAAAAAAACTTTCAGAATTAATAATTCGAAATGTATGGTTTACTTGTATTATTACCTTCTTGGACAGCCTTTAACTTTTTGTATAGTTTTCCATATCATATAAAGTAAAACTTCATTAAATTATGTAAATATTTATTTATTTTGTTATTTTGTTACACATAATCAAAAACAAATACTGCTATGTCTTAAATGTATAACGCATAAAATATTCATATCAACACCATTCACCTGCACTTTTACACATGCGACGCACGCATTGTCATATTTTGTACTTACATACTCGAAAAATAGAAACCCTATAGTTACCTCAGTTAGAATATTTTTAACCTTTTTAAATTTTTAAGATAAATGTTCGTTATTTCATATGGTTTTATCGATATAACACGTACCTATAACATGTTTCGCCAAAATTAATATTTATCGCCATGCGCTAATATCGGCTTCGGTGTACTAGAGTACATGATATCAAGTCAAATAAAATTCAAACGAAATTGGGTCGAACAGGTGGTACGAGACAAACGCTGCCGCCACCACCGCCGCCGAAGCCGAGTTGCAACGGCAGCCCGCCATCGTGTTACCCAGGGGCCGAGTGTCGAGACACGCCGGATGGACCACGGTGTGGCCGGTGTCCTCAAGGGATGGTGGGCGATGGGAAGACGTGTAAGCCAGGCAGGACTTGCGCGATGAAACCGTGTGCTCCAGGTACTTATCGTCCGTTCTACACCGTACACGTACGATCCCAATCGTTTTTCGAAACTCGGAATCCCGGGTAAACTGGTACACCGCTGATCTCGGGGATTTTCACGAAATGAATATCCTTACTGTTACTTCGCTCGTGCAATCGTCATCATAGCATTAAAAAAAATAAATAAATAAATAAATAACCAGGCGTTCGAATTACTTTTCGTCATTCGTATACTAATACCGAAATCCCGCGGTCCGTACGAACAGCGTACGGCCCAAGATCGCAAATGAAAACCGGGATTTTGCTTTCCGTGCGTGTACCACATTACCACGTGTTAACCGTTGATGTACCGCACATTTTCAGGCGTCAGATGTCAAGACACGGTAGACGGTTTCCGGTGCGGTCCATGTCCGGAAGGTTACGTCGGTGATGGTCAGAGGTGTCGTCCGCGTGGATGCGATATGAATCCTTGTTCTCCAGGTATATCCACGCACTATACTTCTAAAAATAATAAACCTATTTGTATACATAAATTAACATGCGATGCAGTTCCGCAACTAACGTGGATTATTTTTAATTAGGCGTCCAATGTTCACCATGTGAAGAACCGCCGTTCTACAAGTGTGGCAGTTGTCCTACAGGGTTTATCGGCAACGGGACGAATTGTGTGGATTTGGACGAAGTAAGATATCGACTGTATAAGACTATAAGCACGATCGTTTTTTTTTCTCGCGTAAGTCGGTATTTGCAATAGTGGGATATGCATCGTTTTGTTTTCAGTGTGATTTGGATGAACCGTGCGATCCTCGGGTACAGTGCACAAACCTCAGACCAGGCTACAAATGCGGTCAGTGTCCACCCGGTTACACGAACGTGGGCCCTTCGCAGGGTATTGGGGCTGATGGTACGAGGAGAACTGATGAGGGACGGCATCGGTGCGTGGACATAGACGAATGCGCTGACGACAGAAACCATGGATGTGCTCCAAACTCCCAGTGCATAAATACCGAAGTAAGATTATTTTTTCTACTCGTATACATTTAGTTATTTTATATTCAATATGGTTAAAAAAAAATCTATTATCAATAATTAACAATTTAACCATCGAAATCTTTGAACTTACTTCGTCCAAGGGTTCTTACCGTTGCGGCGGCTGTCGGTCAGGCTTTATTGGCAACCAGTCGTTGGGCTGTCTCTCTGTTGAAAATTTAAAGAAAACACCGTGGATGTGTCCGGATGGTACGATGTGCCATCAGAATGGAGAGTGTGTCAGATCAACTACAGGAAAATATTCTTGTGAAGTAAGTAAATGAAATAATTATCATTTTGTATCGGGACATTGAAAGTCGTGTAAATAATTAGAGAATTATACTCAAAATTATTTATTGTTTGTACAAGAATATAACATAACATAACAATATTTTAACAATGCAATAAAAAAAATGTACAGGGGAATGACTAGTACAATTTATTAGTTAATAATTAGTTATTATTTAATAATAAAATATAAATTATAACGTTTCAATAATAACATATAACATAAATAATAATGGATTAACACTAAATAGGAATAAAAGCTTATAGATAATTTAGTACCGTTGAAGGAATATGAAATAAAAATTGGTAAATTATAATAAGATTCTGATAAAATTTTATAAGTGACACTATCATTTTTTTTATTTGACTGTGTTGTAGCATTAATTATATGTACGATGTATAAATAGTATATATAATCAATGGTTTTAGGAAATATTTCTTAATAAAATAGATCTTTAAATTGTAATCTTAATTACAGCTTTCTTTTATCTTACAATCGTAAACGGTCAATGTACCTGTATACTACATACATAATATTTAATATAGCATAAGGTAGAACACTTAAATAATTGATTTTCTGTTTAACGTGTAGATAATTTCGATAAAAATATTTTGTACAGGCTAATGACTATAGAGTGCTGCTTTATGGTACATTATGTTTGTTTTAATATTAACAATTTCTTACTGCGTTTATTCTAAATAAATACTTATAAAATAGCATTGTTTTCAAAAATGTCTGATCAATACGTTTTGTTTGTAATTGAGCACTATTAACTTCTAATAAAGAAGTCTTTTGTTAAATTTGCCGTGACTATCGTGAGAATCTTAATTTCCGCTCTATAAAAAAATACATGTCTTATAGATATTTTATATAAATGTGTATAATACATTTACGTATATAAGAACATATGTAGGTATTATACTATTAGTAAATACCAAACATACCAAACAACTGGTTTTATTTGATTATAACATAGGAATGAAATTGAAATATGTCATTTTAAATTTATAGTTCTCAAAATCTCTACATTTTTATAAGCATGATTAAGTCCACTATTTTAAAATAATACCACTGTTTCAAAATATAATGCCCTTGGTCGACTAAATTTCAACGATACATTTGGGTACTCGATTAATACCTAATACTTGTTATACCTTATCGTTTACATGACTTAAGCTGGAATGGAATAATCTTCGATTGTATTCTACGTTTTAGTGCATTGTGGGTTGGGCGGGAAACGGCAAAATATGCGGACCAGATTTGGATTTGGACAGATGGCCCGACATCGATCTTCCGTGCAACGACACGCGTTGTAAAAAGGTTAGTGCGTTGCGCATCAAAATTATTACGGAAATGAAAAAAATACATGTCTCGCTTTACTCAGAATTTGATAATAAGCATCCGATTTTCCTATTTTTGCTGTACAGGACAATTGCATGAGAGTTCCCAATTCGGGGCAAGAAGACGCGGACCAAGATGGTATAGGCGACGTTTGTGACGATGACGCCGACAACGATGGCGTGCCGAACACACCGGTAAGATATGTGCCATCACAAGCCATTCATAGCTCGATTTCGTGCGGTGAGAAGGGGTGATACTGCCTCGTCAAATCGATTGTATAGGTTGTAGGTTAGGTTCGAATCGACAGATTTTAAACAATACAATTATGGTTATTATTTTAAATAAATAAAACCGGTAGGTGCCCATAGGAGAAACTCTATAATAATTAATTCGTCTCCTTTGAATTCTCCTTGGGTAAAACTAACATTTTGATCATATCCCACTCTCCAAACTACGCCCTACGGTAATGATTTATTGTTAAAGCGTGTAATGATATCAGTCAACTTATTATTCTATTTGCATTGCAGGACAACTGCCCATTGGTATCCAATCCAGATCAACTGGATTCTGACCAAGACGGTGCGGACAAAAAAGGCGATGCTTGTGACAACTGTCCGACAATACCGAATCTGGATCAGCACGATACGGACAACGACGGAATAGGAGACGCTTGCGATTCAGACATCGACAATGACGGTACACATACCCGTGTCAACCCGGTGTTACTGATTTTTGTTTTTAAGAGAAAGCATTATTTTTTAAAACACTATTCATGAGTAAAATATTTAACGACACTGTTCTTACTCTCGTCTGTCATAATGCGTTTCCTACACTATCCATGTGCACACGCAGTTTCAAGTCGTGCACAATTTTTACAAAACATGTACACCAGTGCACGTCAACAAAAACTATTCTAAGGGTTTTTGATATGTTCAATGTTCAAGATGGATAGGGGACTCACCTGCGTGTATACACCTGCCGTCTGATGAGTACCCTCCCCTTAGATATTTTGTTATATATCGTACGGTACCAGTACTAATGGGGTATTTTGAACCACGTTTCAGTGAAAGAGGGGCAAGAAAAATTCTGAGTAGACTCTTTTGTTAAATAATAACGTCCATTGCTTATATTTTTCAAACTAGGCATTTTACTCTGCTTTCGTTTCGTCGAATGACTAATATTTCTTTTAAAAATTTTCTTGATGTAATCGGACACTTGCGTGTCGGTGTAATATCTACTACGAGAAAATTTATTTGTCAAAATTCTTGAAATATCCACTAAATGGTAGTACGAGTACAATAATATAAATTTTTAGAAATACATATAAAGAAAATTTAACATCAACCTGAATTGTGTTTAACATATTGTTTATAACTCAGGATGAATTTGGTACTTAATGAGTAACTAATAAGTAAATGTTTTATAAACACTGAAAACTAACAATACTACAGTTATAAGTCAAGCAAATGTTATAAATTGATAATACTAAAACTTAAATCACAAAATTAAAGTATAGTTGGATTTAGAAATTAAAACATTACATTTTGTTATAAAAATACCCCTCCCGTTGAGTAAATAGAACATTGGTTTCGAGTGTTACTTAGTTATTATATACCTGGTGCATATAGGCGTACTGAACCACGAAGATAATTGTCCGAAGAAGGCAAATCCTGACCAAAGGGACACGGACGGCGATGGGCTCGGCGACGTTTGCGACAACTGCCCGAGCATGCACAACCCGACTCAAACGGATTCGGACAAAGATCTGATAGGCGACGCATGCGACAGCGATATCGACAGGGATAGGTAAAATTTTGGATACCGTCATTCGGTTGATGGACGTGTGTGTGTGTTTATATAGAGGGGGGGGAGTAAAATAAACTTTGAAACGGGATCGTGCACAATAATTAATACATTGCGTTAGCAACCGAACCAGACGTTTTATAGAAACGTGTTTTGATCCGGACGCAGGGACGGTATTCAGGACAGCGTAGACAACTGCCCTAAGGTAGCCAATTCCAATCAGCTAGACACGGACGGGGACGGCAAGGGCGACGAGTGCGATCCGGACATCGACGGGGACGGCATCAGTAACGTACAGGACAACTGCATGCTGGTGTTCAACCCGGACCAGGCCGATTTCGACGGTCAGTAAATGGTATAACCATTGATTGTTTCTGTGGACCCCTAGCGGTCGTCAAAACCAAATGACCGCGGCGTTCGTCGCGCACCCGTTTGCACACAGGTAACGGCGTCGGGGACATATGCCAGGACGACAACGACTACGACAAGGTGCCCAACCACTTGGACAACTGTCCCAACAACTCGAAGATATTCACCACGGACTTCAGGACGTACCAGACGGTCGTGCTCGACCCGGAAGGCGATTCCCAGATCGACCCCAACTGGGTGGTGTACAACAAGGGAGCGGAGTTCGTGCAGACCATGAACAGCGATCCCGGCCTGGCCGTAGGTAAGTTAGCAGGGTACATTACGCGCGCAGACCGTTGCCGCCGGCGAACACGTGCTCCCGTCCCGCACGCGTCCGAATCGTGTCCCCGCCGGAACAAAAAAAAATTAAGAATCGATTTCGACGCGGAACTCCTCGGCGAGCCGTGAAGGTTTTTCGGACCCCGATAGAGGACGACCGGCGCATGACTGCTCTTGCGACGAGGTCGGCACAAACGTTAGCGAGCCGGTACGTCGAACACGGTTTTTTGCCGCCGTCCGCGAACCACTGCAGGACGCGAGAACGGACCAGTATTGGTAACACGTGGCCGGAGTCAGACGATGGGCACGGGTGACGAAACCGAGAGATGACCACCGCCACTACTGCGCGCGTCTTCCGCTGTTGTTTAGGTTACGATTCGTTTGGCGGCGTCGACTTCGAAGGCACGTTCTTCGTGGACACCGACATCGACGACGACTACGTGGGCTTTGTGTTCAGCTACCAGGACAATCACAAGTTCTACACGGTGATGTGGAAAAAGGGCACGCAAACGTACTGGCAAGCGACTCCGTTCAGAGCGGTCGCCGAACCGGGGATACAGATCAAGGCCGTGCACTCGGAAACCGGACCGGGACAAATGTTAAGGAACGCTCTGTGGAACACGGACAGCACCGACAAACAAGTGAACGCACTACAGAATAACAATTACCAATAAATATAACTATGTCGTTTACCGTACGCGTAACCGTGTTCGTGAACAGGTGAAACTGTTGTGGAAAGACCCACGTAACGTCGGTTGGAAAGGAAAAACGGCCTACAGGTGGATACTGTTACACCGTCCCAAGATCGGATTGATCAGGCTAAGAATATTCGAAGGGCAAAATATGGTGACCGATTCGGGGAACGTGTTCGATTACACGTTCAAAGGTGGTAGACTAGGAGTGTTTTGTTTCTCCCAGGAAATGATCATATGGTCAGATTTGGTTTATCGCTGCAATGGTATGTCTATGGTGTACCGTCGTCACAATCACAAGCTTTATTAAGCCCTTTGATTTTTCATGATTTCAGATAATATACCAGAAACCATCTATCGTGAATTACCTCCAAAGTTGCAACAAGAAGTACAATTAGATACAAGACGGGTTTCTAACTAACAAACGTGTACTAATTTTGTTATAGTTAGGGTAGAAACTTCCTTATATATCTAATATAGAAAATAAGTACGCGTTTTTAATCAATTAATTTTAGATTTATTTTTTAAAATATAAACATTATTTGATAAATCTAAGTTTTTATAAAGTTACTTATAATACAAATGATAAGTGTACAATATAAAAGTAATCAAATCAGTAATTCCTGTTTTTTTTTCTACAAAAATTTGGTATTTGATTTCAATACATTTTATTTTATAATAAAGACATTTAATAATCAAGACTTATAGAATAAATATGATTACATTTTAAAAATAATTTAAATGATTGAAACATAACAGAATGAATAAACATTACATATTTACTCAAAAAAACGTTGAAACTATTTTTAGCTTATCCTAAATTACTTCAACATATTTCATAAGTTAATATATATACAACAGAGCATTATAATACTTAAGACACAAACATTTCCATCCCTAACCTTCTTGACATTGAATAATAAGAATCTTGTCATTTTAATCGGTTCGTGGTCGCTTGAACAATAAAATATGAGGCTCTGTAAAAAAAAAAAATTGTATTTAGGTTATAAGAAATAAAGCAACTTATATAATAATAAGATTAATAGGAATTTTTTTTATAGAAAATTCGGTATTGATATTCTCCTGAACTTTTATGAGCAGAGCAGGAAAATGTTAATTTCCATGATATCATGAAAAATTAAAAGTGAAGTAAGAAAAATCATTTTAAACCGCAAAAAAAACTAAGATTTATTACTTCAAATGTCAAGCCTTGATAATTTTAAAACATGAGAATATGAATTTATATAACACAGGTTAAATTAAAATTAATTAATTAAAAAGGCTCAATTAATCATAGTTTTTATTTATCAGCGTGACTTCTCTACAATATTAACTATTTTATATTTTACTGTAAATACTAAACATTTTATTTCTTCATTATTAAGAAAATATATTAATAGACAAAAAGTTATTTAACTTAATACCTACACAATAAAACAAATTATTTCTTAATCATACATAAATTAAGGTAATTATTTTATATATAATTAATGTTACATATTACATATTTTTAAATTAAATAAATATCAATCACGTTACATATTATTTTATTAAATATTTATCGAGACTTAATAGTTTTATTATAAATATCAAAATTAAAACAATTACTAATAACAAAAAAATTGATTATGAAAATAATTGTTTAAGATTTAATATTTTAGTAACAGTTTAAGTTAAAGATGAATGTTAAAAATGAATGCAAAGCACAACAAAATACATAAATAAATGTTTAATTTTAAACTCACCAGGTTCATGGATCATATAATGTACCCAGCCTTTACTCTGTTGTACTCCAATAGATCGCCATTCATCTTCTGTAAGTAGATGTGTTTTAGGAATAGTTTTTGCCATTTCTTTGGGTAAAACCACATGCCTGTAATAAATACCACAATAAAAATAACATCAATCAAGAAAAACATTTAAACAGAAAAGAAGAATTTAATAATTATAAATTTATTGTTTATTTAAGCATGTCTAAATAAAATTCATTGGAATAAGTTGCTATTTGACAATTTAAAAAATATTAAAAAATACCCAAGTATATTCGATAACTGAAAATTTAAAATCTACATGTACCATAACACCTAGTACATTTTCTAATCTCATGCTTAAAAAAGATATAATTGTTTTGTAATAACATTTGTAATAGGCAGTAATCAATTTGGTTTCATACAAATAGCATTGAGTGTATTTAAAATTTGTCTAGATGATAAACTGCTAAAACCAATTCCATCACAATGATTAAGAAAGCTCTGGAAAGAAAATTGAAAAAAAAGATAGACCAAGTACTTAGGTACATCATACATTACTGCTAAACAACAGTAGACCATTAGGTAGTTAATAACTGCATCTCAAAAAAGAACATTCATCTGTACATGTGAATATTAGCAGCACAAAAACAAATTGGATATAATAGGTAGATCATGGTCATAGGTACGAATAGTGTTCTATTTGGAGGAAGTGGAATGTTGAAAAATTGTTCACAATATATTATATTATGTATAATCTACTAGTATACCTATAGTGTGATGATTAGTTTTTGAAGGAGGCAACAAGAAATTTAGGGAAGCTAAGCATCCAGTCATCCCCTTATAGCATAAATGACTACAGTCGAGAAAAGCAAGTTGCCACGGCACACAACCACAAATTAAGTTACAGGAGTTAACTATACGCGGACATGATGAACACGAGAAAAATCGTTCTCGGATTGGGCTAAGTAATAACGACAGACATAACATACAGACCAGGCATATTTAACGACTTAAAACGGTCGGTGGTGATAGCAAGAAGTGGTGCGCCAGTATTGTTATGCGAGAAGAACCGCTTAAAGTAAAAACCAATGCGTTACAAACCTGTACTCGTATATATCGTCGTAGTACTTGTCCGAGTAGTAGATTTGTTTGTCAGCCATTGTGAAGCGGACTGAACGCGTATACGGGTGCGCGCGCGCGACGAGTGCTGCAAGGCGGTAGACGTGCTTGGTATATGGCGGCGGCGGTCGTCCAGTTGCTACGGTTGGCTTTCCCCTATCTCCGCGAGACAAAAACAAACACGACCCGGGGCAGCAACAGCAGCAGATGGTCTTTTTGAGAAATACAACAATAACAAAATCGAGATTAATACATGTACGTGTTATTGTTGTAAAGGCATGTGTGCATGCGTGTTACGTACAGGTAAGTCGTATGCTACGCGGTATTCTCCCGACGAACAGTTGGACAGGGCGCACACACTGACGGACGAACAATGTCAGAAACGAGCGACGACGGTACACAATACGAGCCGGTTGCACAGCGAACACAATAATAACAGACGTTTTTTGGCGGTTGAAATGGACCACGCGGACGCGGGTCGGGGAGAACGGCGGCGGAGGAGTCGGATGTTGGTGACGGCACAGAATAGAATCCGTTTCGCACTTCATGCCGGAAACCCGGTGAAAATAATTAAGTATAATAAAATTATAATACATTATAATATAATATAATTAAATTAAATAAATAATAAAATATTTCATTGGATAATCGATATATAATATAAACCGCGATACGTTGTGATTAAAGCCAACAGTCGGCAACTGGTACGTTTACTAACTTATCTTCCATTCATTATAATTTTTTAAATTATTTTTGTACTGATAACAAGAAAAATAACGTTTTTTCCTCTGGACATCGCTTATTCATTAGTTCAACCTTCCGGGCTCTAATCCAATCAGTAATTAGTTGCCAGCCACTGCTATAAACTATTCGGAGTAGTCCGTCATACCGGCTGATCGTTATTTTTGTTGATGTATAGAGAACGAAGAATACTGATGATCGCATAAAACAACGAGCGCCCTGATTGATCATTGTCAATGTTGGTTTTTGAAGTTATCAATAGTATTCTTCATGATTTGTTGCACGAATCATCAATATTATCTTATACACGTTTTACAGGAAATAATACTTGTGAAATACTTTCAGTGTTTCCGACTTATTTATTTGGTTGTCTTATGAATAAAATAATTTTTTATGTTAAAGTTTTATCGGACTTATTTCTTCCATAAATCTTGATCCTTATATCGTACCTTTAAATATTCTTATTCGATTTAACTGTTGTGGAGGTAAATTTCCATTTGGTTTAATAATTCAACGATTTTTATTTTTTTTTTTTATTTATAGCTATTAGTATTAAACTATGATTGCTGAGCTATCATAGCTTGACAATTACAAAATGTAAAAAGAGAGAATTAATTACAATGTATTATATAATAAAGCTAGTAACCAATATAAAAGAGAACAATTTTAAAAGAGTGGATCTTTATTAAGTATAGATTATAGATTAAAAGAAATATTGAAATCATTAAGAAAGTTCATCAAAATTACACATTATTAGTTAAATAAAATATAAGAATAGTTACAGATACATTAATTTAAATGTAGAGTACAGAATGAAGAATCATTTTGGCCAAGTTTGAATGAGCGGCTGAGTAGTAGATGATGTTCCATGCATAACTGATTTAATTGTACTATAATAATATATAGTATTATATAGACCATATTATGGTCTATGCAAGTGTAGATGATTAAACCCATTTTTTTTAAGGAGATTGGGTGTAATTTTTTTATATCTTGAGCGTAGCCCACAGATAGGTTGTTTCAAAGAAAGAGCTACAGATTAGACAATTCAATGTTAAATTGTATCTTTTCTCTAGGTACGTATATTCCAGCTTTCTACTCTATATTGAATTGTAAATTTAAACAATATTTTATTGTTAGTTAAATACATTGTTAAATTAATATTGAATGGAGTATCATCGATTATAAAATCAAAATTAAATTGGTTATTATTTATTTGTACTAAAAATCAGATAAGTTAGCCAACTACTTACAATTCACCAATAGTTTAGGAATTTGATACAGATACTTCAAAGGTAATTTTTCAATATAGTTTGCCCTTAATGTTATTTTATGGGTAGAAAAATGCATGATAACATAAATTAATATCATGGGTTATTTATTAAAATTACTGAACTAAATAAAAATTATCTATGGGATTTAATGATTAAATTAATATATTTTAGCAACATAATTAATGTAATTTGAATTAAAATATTTTAAATAACATAATGCACAGTTTGTAAATTGGGATTAATATTTAGATTTTATATTTTTTTAAGTATTTATATTAAATATATTGTTTAACCATTGAAATCAGAAATAATACTTTTACATTGCCGTTATGATTTAGAACATACAAGGTTAAATGAAAGATAATAAAATACTTATTTTATATCGTACAAAAATATAATCACACATATAAACATTAACATAATTAGTCTGTAAAAGACTAAAACCACTTAGAAAGAATGAACTTATTATTTATTTTCTTTTAAAAGTACTTCGTAAACGTAAAAACAAAGCATGTTTAGACATTTTTGACTCTGCAGGAATATAATTTTCATAAAAATTTTGCACAAATTCTTCAATTTTGAATCCAAATTTTTGGTAGAGTATCATAGCTGGATTGTCAGGAGAAACATGTAATGTAATGTCTCTAGTCATACATGTCTATAAATTTAATAACCAATAGTTAACAATAAAAATAATATTTTTCACTTTATGCTTAAATGCTATACCTGAATTAAATGATATATCATAAATGTGGCAATACCACTATTAGTCCAATAAGGACGAGTGAATAAAAATGTAATATAATTCTCATTTGTGCTAATATCAGGAACCATAAAACCAAAACCAATCACTAAGTTCTTGTATAATGCAATAACACTAAAGTCTGGATATAACAGGCTTTCAGTTACTAAATATTAAAATTAAACAAATAAATATTGCAGCTTTTAAAGTTATAGTTAAATAAACACAAATACATACAATCGATACCAGGCCAAAAAAATTGTCTTGCTAATGCATTTACAGATTTTATGTGTTTTGCTCGAACGTAACTATAATCAATCGTTTCAACTTCCTCCATACGATTTGGTAATCCTTTTTTACGTCTAAAATATTCTTTTAATTCTTTTAACATTTGTAACCATAGTGGTTTAGTTACTGGATCTCTAAATATGTATGGCTTCAAATACCTTCAGAAATATTCAGAACAAAACAAATACAATGAATTAATAAATATATTTAATGAAAAGGCCAATAATTATTGAGAAAATGAACAATTTTTAACAGAAACTGCTAATAATTGTACATAAATAAATTATGCTACGCAAAGTGAGATTATAAATACCTATGAGTATAAGGACTAATAATAGTTTTAGGTTTTGAACCACAAAGAAGATCTTTTAATAATATAGGTTCTGGGTGTTCGACCTGTTCAAAAAATTGTTCTTTTGATTTTCCCTAAATTGAAAAATAGAAAATAATTATTTAAAATCTGTATACAAAAATTATATTTTATTAATATACCTGGTAACGATTAAATATATTTATATATTGTTCAGATTCTAGCATAAGATTTTTTGTTGAATATGGCTCGGCAGTAAATAGTTTCTGTGTATCATTTGGTAGCTTAATAGGTGGAACATCATCAACTTTACACTTACTATTTAATATATTTTTTTCTAGTGAAGATCCAGATGATGGACAAAATAAAGTTATTCCATCTTTATTAACGATCCCTTCAGTATTTTCATGGGATATAGTTTTAATGTCAGTGTTTCTAGTTTCAATGTTTTCTTGTTTTCTAAAAATTAGAATTATACTTATATAATAACAAAATTATTGATAAATATCATTTAAAATATATCAATATACAGAAGAATGTATTATTCTGTTTGATTTTAAAAAATTATTCTTACTCATTTAAATTATGTTCCATTGAGTAATCTAGAGTTGGAAATAATTTAATCATATCACTATCTATATCCGTAGGAGAAAATAATGTTGTTGGTGTAGATTCTGTTAAAATACAAGATTTTTTTTCTTCATCACTTGGTTGTTTGATATTTTCATTGTTCAATCTTATATAAAATAATATATGTAAAATCTAATTAATATGCTTAAGTTATTTAATAAATCTAGTACTAAATGAGCCAAAATCTACTTTATAGTTCATTATTTTAAAGCTATTATTCACTTTTATTGAATATTTATAGCTTCTGGAACTTAATGATGAAAGTGATGAAGTGAAAACTCAATTTTATAATGGTAGCCATTTGACAACTGTTTTAATAATGAAATAAACTTAAAATCGTTATATATATTTGTGAATTTATAATCATGCTATACAACTTATTTTCCTTAAAAAAGTATGAATATTCATTAAATTACTCCCAAGAAAAAAAGCTCTTTAGACATTCGGCATAAATCAATTTTGAGTAAAATTTAATTAGTTTAAATTACCTTGGCATTGTATCATCTTGATTACCATGGTATTTACTTAGACTGCTTGAACCATTACCTCCAGAAGAATGAATACAGTCTTTTGATATAGCCACAGACTGTTCATAGATGGGTTGTTTTTTTTTATTTTCTTTAAGAGCATCTTTCAGTAATCTAATAAAAATATAACAATCAAATTAATTTTTAATTTTATTATATTATAATATTATATGATGATCAATATATTACGTTAATAAATCAAATAACTCACTCTGTTGTGACATCAATAGCATATAAACTACAACTAGATAATTCATTGTTAACATTGATTTCTTTCAGGTTTTTCGTTATATTAGAACAATCCAATGATAAACATTCAGATTTCAATGATTTGTTTATTTCTTCAAAATCATTATAAATTGTTTCAGCTTTATCATTTTTAACAACCTGAAATCAAAAATCTTATTGAAATTCCATAAAATCTAGTTAAGGTATCTTGAGATTTACTACATTTTGTTTTTTGATTGGCAAACAATAATCATGCTCTTTTCGGAACCACTTGTTGAAGCCAAGGAACCGTTTGTTGCGCTTAACTTGCAAACGTTTCACAGCTGAACCACTATTTCTTTTTGTACTGTTGTGTGAATGCAAATAGTCATTAAATTCAGAACTACTCTTATTAATGGTTAGTTCCATTTTGCTGTAGATTACAGAAATAACAGGAAAAAAAAGTATTTAACCTCTTCATATACGACAAGTAGATTATTTCATACTTGAACATCCTTCCCGTCGAGTATATATTTTAATAAAAACACTGAATAATTCAATAATATCATAATAATACGGACATAGAAACCAATACTATAAGACTGGTTTCAAGAGGCCATCAAGAAAGAATTTTAGGAGTTCCAGGAGTGACGGTCGACTTGTTGATACAACAGTTAAAGATATTCTCTTGATAAAAAGCTAAAATATGTTATTAAAAATTGCATCCATGAGGATAGTGTAAAAAAATATGAAATAAAAGAACAAATGCACGTTTTTGCAATATCTATATCAACACGTTACGGATCTTATCATTGTTATCATCGGACATTGATTACAATTTCACACAGGGGTATTCAAAACGAATGGATCTTCGCAAGAAAAAAATTTTTGTGCCCGTAAATAATATTGCCTACATTTAACCCCTTTTTTGCAGCTATCAAAATTTGATATCATTTTTATTATAATAGTTTTATATATTGATACATTTAAACTAAAGTAGTTAAATAAATTTAATAAAACGCAATTCGAAAAAAAAAACACAATATTCACTTACGATCGTCATTTAAAAAGTATAAATCAACAATATATTGAGAAATTAATTTTTTTTTAACGCTATTAGAATGATAGTCATATGAATGAACATTTAAAATATCGCTTGTATTATTTAGTAGATGAAGATATGCCAGCAGTGCTATAAAGAATTAAATAATATTTAAAATTATATGAAAAATATTATTGAATAAAAATAAAACACAACAATTAACCATCTTTTGGTGGGCCATAAAAAATTGTGCCACGGGTTGCCCTGGTCTATCCTATACAATTGTTCATGCGACGTCACTCCATAATTTCTATTTTTGTTCATATTTTTCTCGAAATACCACGAACTCACGATCACCAGCCCCTTATAGTTTTATTAAATATATACAATTAAAATTAAATAAATAATGATTAATTTATAACTAAATGTAATTCAATAATAATGCTGTACATTTTTTACGTTTGAACAGAGTAGTCGTACATGTATTTTTTTAATTCTATATTATTCATATACGTGATTTAAATACAAAATTTTAATTTTAAAAATATCCTAGAGCATTCTATTGTATGAAGACAAATTTTTAATGTTTGATTTTTTGAATATTATAGATTGGGTTAAGTATGTCCTATTTACAAATTCTATTAAATAAATCTATAAAAGTTAATAATCTTAAGACATCTTAACATTAACAATCTTCCTTCAAATACACTAACTGTACTATTTCTTTTTTTAAAGACTACCAAAACATTATTGAATGTATCTTGAAAAATCACATACTCAAAAAAATAAACTATAACATTGGAAAGGAATTTTTGAAACCAGCAACTATTTCAGTGGTTAGAACCGTCTATGGGGATGATGTAGCTCACAAGTTAGAATTAATTATGTTTTTTGATAACAATATTAAACGAAGGATCGATCTTATGTCTGAAAATATTTTAAAACAACTAATACATCAAGTGATTTCAGCAAAAACATTTTCAATTCAAATCAATGAATTCGTTGATGTCAAAAATAATGTCCAACCAATAATGTTAATATATTTAGGAAGTCCTGACGACTATTTTGAAGAATTTTTATTTTATAAACCACTTTCTATAATCACAAAAGGCTTAGATATTTTTAAAAAACTAAATTTTTTTTCAGGAAAAATATACATTTTATTATTATTATTAATATCATAATGTAATATACAAATCTTAATGAAAATCAAGATTAATTTTAAGTTAATAGTATTTGTAATCAATAAGATTAATAAAACATAATTAATTAATAATATATATATATATATATAGTTTTAATTGAATAATAAGCCTACCAAGAAACAAACAAACTTTAATTTGAACTTTATTAACATAAAATCAATAACTCCGAATTTTGAGAACAATTAACAAATCATTTTTTTTTTTAATATTTTCATATACTAAATTGTAAAATATTCCCTTTAACTTAAATTCCATACAATTTTACAACTCTACTCCAAATGTTGAACACATTCAATGAATTGTTCTAACAATGAATATTTATACATAATTTTTTTTTAAAAATAATTAAAAATATTAATGGAAATAAAACTTGAAAGATTAAAAGGATTGAGTTATTTTTCATCATCAGAAGAAGACCACCATATATTTGAATTATCATCAGCTAAATTGATAGTTTGATTTTTTGTTTCAATTATTGAGGATATTTTGATTATTTCCGATTTTTCTGGTATCATGATAGAGTCATTATGTTTTTGGCATTCATGTGATGTAGATACATTTGATAAAATATTATAGCGCTTTTTCATTAATGATTTGATAAAAGCATGGTCTTTTTTTACATGTACTTCAATATTTTGGCTATCCGTACTATCTTTCTTGATTTCTGATTCAGTGATATTAACAGAATTATTACTATTAAAACCACTCGGAATAAATATATTTTCCTAGATAAATATAAAGCAAATTAATTCTATACAAATGCAATGATTCAATGGTTTTTAAACTATTACCAAACATTTTAGTCTCAATGGATTGAAAATTGAATATGTAAATTGCTCATTCTTCATATCTAAAAGCATCAAAATAATTTTAATTAGTATTATCTAAATTTATACCTATATAAATGTAATGAATTAAATTACCGGAAAAATAATTTTTTTTTTCAAAAATTTTCAAAAACTTTTTCAATGGTATAATTGAATTATCTGTTTTATTATTGATAGTTAATTCACCAGAATAAACAGCATTATTAATGCATTTAGGGGTAAAATAAAAACTCAATTCCCCACATTGATTTTTCCAAATCAAATTTTCAATTGCAACCTTGATAAATTTACTATCTAAATCAATATTTACATCAATATAGTAGGTTGGAAGTTTTAAATTTAAAAATTTGTCTGGGCAAGCTCTCATTTCTAAATTGCCATTATTCTCACAAAATCTCTAAGTTACATAAAAATAGAATAAATAATTAATTAACATTTATAATACTAAATAAATTTAAATTTACATTACCTGAGAGTCAATTAAATATATTTCAGGTATCGTGCCTCTGATGGGGACTTTCGAAATAATTCCACGCGCCCATAAGTTTGTTGAATCCTTAACTCGTACCATAACAACCTAAAAATAATTTAAAATTTTCGACAAATAGTAAGTACAACCAACTATTTGATTTTAGATTTCTGAAGTTACTAACATTTCCTATTTCAACATGAGGATATTCAAATTTTCCAAACCATTTGTTATTTTTGTTAAAATATAATAATTGTTTATAATAGTTTTGAAAATATTGTGTTGCATCACTATTGAACTGTTCAACGATGATAAAGCAACTACTAGATTTGTCTTTATTTATAATATTTACATTATATGTTTTTTTCAACTCCATTTTTCTGTCCAGATAAACTTAATGAAAGTCAGAATATTGAAAAGTCTGAGCACATGAGGTTTGAATGTATGGATAGGCTGTTATATGTAAAATAAGTATGGTCACAGATCTAAGGGCAGAATAATTCATGTCATGTTGAGCTCATATTATAATTATATAATATTACAATACTAATATTGTACTATATTATAATAATATACAAACAATATGTGTGTATAATAATATTATCGACGAAATTACAATATTAATTATAATAATAAAATAAGAAAAAAATTTGTCTAAAATTGAAATAAAAGGCTTACATAAAATATTATCATTGTAAAAATGGTAAATTTTCATTTCAAACGTTGAGCCGTTGATAGAATACTCCATAGCATAGATTGTCCACCTTGATACCTATGTTTATAATGATCACAAGTAAAGTATCATTCACAGGTCATAGAAGATGGAAAATATATAGTACCGTAGATGCAAGTGACATGTGGAGCCTGTGATTGAACACGATAATTTAAGGTGTTTTAAATCGTGTAGAACCATAGACGTATAATATTATACGTCTATGTGTAAAACAAAATTTTAAATATTTACAAATCCATATCACATTGTTCTGTGGTCATATCACGATATAAAAACAGACGTATCACGGCATAGATATACAACCATATATTATGTTATATTATATATCTATGTATCACGAAGGAGCGTCTAAACACAGGAATGCGCCTTAAGCATTCTGCACATGCTTGTAATTTATTCACCATTATCATAATGTTAGGTTGTTACATAGAGTTACCCAATAAGCTGTTATCAATATATCATATCAAATCACTGTAATACGATAATAATATGAGTTATGAATCAAACTATTCAAAATTTAACGACGTACTTCCTATGTAAATAATATATTGTCATTTTATTTTAGTTGTTAAATAATAATGTTCAGTTTCGTTATAATTTTTTTGTAGTAGTAGTATATTATTAAGATGTTTAGTTTGAACTCTAGTGTAATGTACTATGTATACATTTTTTTTTCCATATGTATTTTATAGTTACTAAGTAATTACAATAAACAATTATAACCATAAGCAAATTAATAGAAATAATATGAACCACGTGCGAATCGCAAAATATCGAATAGGAAAAAGTTGCAAAACAGCATTAGCAACCAAATGTATCCAGTATATACACTCTGCTTATATTTGTTACTATTATTTACTTTGTCTATGTTGATGTTAAATTAAAAAGTGTTAAATAAAATATCAGTAATACCGTAACAAGTATTCTTGATAAAGTTGACATAGTCTAACTCTAAAATCCTTACATCATAATATTGTGTAACCGTGTTGAACTCACAACTCGCCACACTAAACTAGTTGGTTTTAATAATTCATACTTGTACTTACTATTAAGATAATGTCATTTATATACAGTGCTCGACTCGGCAAAATTAAAGAAGGGGGAATCTATTTACTTTAAAAAAAAGGACATCCCCAAAACTGGCTGAGCGTTATGATTATAGCGTAATAATACCAGGGGGACGCTAAATTCTTGAAAAATAGTTGGGGTACTCCGCCCCCCTTTAAATCGAGCACTGTTTATATAGATATTAGATAATATTGAGTTTTTATGTTTAAGATGTTTGTGAATTGTTTTATTAATACTCAAGAAGACATTTAGTAAATGTCCTTTGTGTAATACATTTTAATAAAGTCTGGTTTATGAAATGTTCAAATTGGTAATTGGTAATTGGGTAAATTAAGATATAAATAAACATTATTAAAAGCCATCTCAATATATTAGATAGTTATTGCTTTTTTAATTTTTTTTTTCAAATGTATCTGATATGTATAATGATTTATTTACTGAAATGGTCGAAACACAAAGAAAAGTGTAAAATACGTAAGTAGTATGTTCAAATTTTGAATAGTTTGATTCAAAACTCATATTATAATAATATTATCGTATTATAGTGATTTGATATAATATATTGATAACAGCCTAACATGATAGTGGTGAATAAATTACGCGCATGCGCAGAATATATAAGGTGCATTCCTGTGCTTAGACGCTCCTTGTCACGGACGAAGAATTATATCATGCTATCATCATGTGTTCCATTATCAAATACGTAAAAAAATAAATATCACGTGGTTTAGTGCGATTCTCCTACAATATTTTCTTTCGAAATAATCACTATCATGAATTTTTGATTTTTTTATTCTTAGATTCTTATAAATGGTTGTTATATTCTGTGATGGTGCTCCCGAGATCTTAGATTCTACCATAGTATACAGATTGTAAGATTTATTCAAAATGACCGAAGTTAATGAAATTATTACAACTTTTGAAAAATTGACTGTAAATCCATTGGACTATCTAAAGTAAGATAATTGACTAAGTTTACTTTAATATTTTAATATTTGTAATTTATTTTGATACTTGTAACTATTAACTATATAATAATAAGACTATTCTTCAATATTATATAACAACATTATAATTTTATATACTATGTTTTAGTGTACAAACCAGTTTATCTGAAGAAGCAACAAAGTTATTGAAACTACTTTATGATACTACAAAGAAAGTTGAAATAAAGACAAACGATGTCGAAGATGATACTCTTCCTGAACTAATTGTGGAAGATTTCGATGAGGAACAAATATGGCAAGAATTGGAACTTCAAAATTCAGCTCGATTAAAATTGTTGGCTAATACTATTAAGAAGTTTTCTAATAACGATTTGATTTTTATCAATGCATCTGATGGTAAGTGTATTGTTATATAATAACTACATATTTTTTTAATGTATTTTGGGTTCAAAACTTTATAAATTAATTCTTTTGTTTTATGATTTAATTGAATGGAAATAATGGCATTAGTCAAAACCAAAATTGACATTAGAGATTGGTGGAAACTAGTTTTGACAGATTTCAAGTTTTAATTGTACTATATTTATTTATATAACTAAATTTTGTTTACTAACAAAAAGCGTACATTTTTAAATGAAATTTTGTTTTCTGATTTATTTTTTATTAAATATTGTATTGAGGTAATACAAATAAGATGGAGTGCAATATAGTCATATGAAGAAAAGATAGTTTAAGAATATATTCTTCCTTAAAAATGGAATGGTACAATCAAATAATAAAAAAAAAAACAAATAGTTTCTTACAAGGAAAACAATTATAGTGGTTTAATATAATATTTAGTTTGTAATATATCAAATAAATTTAAAAAAAATATCATTTTACCTTTGTATATTTTTTGGTTTTCTAAGAAACAAAATTTAAATATTTAAATAAGACATACTTGATAACTTAGTTAAAAATATTGAGGTATTTTGTTTTATGATCTAATAAACTTGTTCTCTTTTTATTATTTTTTAGAATCATACCAAAAGAAATCTGAAGTAGATATGGATGGATTTGAAAGTAATAAAATAATTTATAGTTTGGTTTATTATTAAAATTTATCACTAAATATTTTTACTAATATTTTTACTTAATTAGTTTTCATTACAACATTTAAAAATGATGTTTATTATTTTAGATTCTGAAAATTTAGAAGATTCAGATGAAAATGAAGAATTGGAAGATGAATATGACTCAGACAAGGATAACATTTCTGATTTAGAAGATTCAAATTCTAAATTAAGTAATTACTCAAAATTAGAATTACAATTTTTTTAATAAAGCAATCCATTTAAATGTTAAGAAAATTAAAAAACCCAGGCACAAAATATTAATTTCCGTTATATTTTAAGCAGATATATTAATTTTTAATATAACAATAATAAAAATGACATTAAAATTAAAGAATATTTAATGGTTAATAGTCAATAATAATATACAAATAAATTAATTAATTAATAAATGCTTATTATGCAGTATTAATATATTTGTAAAGTAAGACTGTTTTCAAATTAAAAACTCATGGTCAGGTATATACAAAGTCAATAAAATAACGAAATAAAATAAAACTTATAAATATATATCATTAATTTATTTATATACTAACAATAATACTTGAGGGATATATAATAATAATAAAATAGGTTTTTTTTTTTTTTTATTATTATTTTAGTATAAAAATTATGTTATATTACATTAATAACATGCTCAAACTTATTCTTTATATTTTTTATTCAACTAGATAAAGTTTCACAATTTGGAGGTGGAAAAATGTCTTAGTGTTATCTATTATTATCCAATCATTAAATATATATACTAAGATTAATGTGTGTAATAATTCAATAAATCTTATGTATCTTTTTATATAATTATTAGAGTATAAAAAGTCAATAGTCGATGATGAATTTTTCAAATTGTCTGAAATGGAAAACTTTCTCTTATCTGAAGAAAAACTGGAGTCTACCAAAGATAAACCAAAAAAACTTGAAGATGATATTGACTTGTTTCAAGATCTACAATCTGAAAATGAGGTATATAATGAAGATTAATATAAAATTATTTACTAGGATTTTATATATAAATATTATATTTATAGTATTCTATTACAGATTTAATATTATATGTTTAAGTGTTTAATTAATATTTTTTGGATTTATAGGAGGATGAAGATAATTTTGGTCCTATGTATCAAGAATTCTTTGAAAAAAATTCAAAAGTATCTGGAAAAAATATCAAATCTAAAAAAAATGTTAGATTTGCGATGGATGAAGATAGTAGTGAAGACAATGAAAAGAATATTAATGAAATTGGTGAAAAAGATAATGAACATTTATCTACTCTAGAAATGAGATCAGCACGTCTTCAAAAACGCATAGCTAAATTAGAAGAAGAAGCAGTATCTGATGACAAACCTTGGGCTCTGAAGGGCGAAGTTGCAGCTAAGGACCGCCCTCAAAATTCTTTATTAGAAGAAGCTGTTGAATTTGATGTCTGTACTCGTCCAGGTAAATTTAAGATGTATTTTATTTTGTTTTACAATATAATATATTATATATTTAATATTTTTAATCATTATTAATTTTTATATATACCAATTTGATATTTAGCACCAGTTATAACTGAAGAAACAACAGTTAAATTGGAAGATATTATTTTACAAAGAATTAAGGATAAAGCATGGGATGATGTTGAACGAAAAATAAAACAAATTAAAGCACCTCAAGAATTTAGAAAACAATTGGTGTTGAATCAAGAGAAGAGCAAAGATAGCTTATCTCAAATTTATGAAAAAAGTATAGTATAATTATTAAATTTTCGTTCGTTAGTATTTGATAATTAAACAAAAATACATTTTTTATAGGAATTCATTAAACAAAGAGAAGCGGCGGACCCTGAAAACAAAAATAAACCTGAGGAAGAACCAAAAGAACATAAAGAAATTGATTTAATGATAAAAGAATTGTTTAGAAAACTAGATGCACTTACTAACTATCATTACACTCCTAAACAGGTAATATATTTGCATTGTTTAATTTAACATCTCACTTTTATCACAATCTTATAAAATAAATAGAGAAGTAATCTGTAAAAAATTTGAAAGTAAATACTTAAAACATTATACTATCTATTAAAATTTCAATCAAATTAGAAATTAAATAAGTGTTTGTGTTCTAAAGTATACAATTTAAGGAACTACAGTAGAATGCTAATTATCCGGACTAGTTAATTTTTAGAATGATCCAGACTAATAAATATCCGTATGATTATATTATAAAACATTAAAAATTTTACATTAATATAAATACATTGTATTATTTATTATTTATTATTTATAATATAATATAAAATGTTTGATAGTGAACAAATAATATCGTACAAATGAAAAGAAACTAGTTATAAATATTTTAATAGATAAACTGACTTGGTATTATGTATATTATTTATTACAAATATTTGAAAGGTATGACCTTTTGGTCTACTTCATTGTTGACTTTATCTTTAAAGTACCTAGCTAAATCATTTAATTTCCTTAATTGTAACAATTGGATGATATTTAATTTGTCTTATCTCTCAATCTATTTAAACGTCTGACACGAGACAAACAAACACCTATTTAAACATCAATTTCATTACATCAAAAGCTTCAGTATAAGACAGCCCATATTAACCTTCAGTTTCATTTCCCATTTTTTCACCATTACTTTCTTCAAATACGCTACAAACAACTATTTTATCTTCTGAATAATTCAACACTCAGTTGACATAGGCGGACATTGGGGGAGAGAGCTTACCCCCCCCCCCAAATATTTGAATAGGCCCCACCAAAATCGAAACTTTGTTAGCAATGTTATTTGTTGTTTTTATAATTATCTGTTCGTTTCTTTAAAAATAGTAAAATAAGAAATAATAAAAAACTATTTACAATAGCATTAACAATACCAATTAGTTTGGCTACTTTCGAAAGAAGTTTCAGTGCGATGCAAAAAATAAAAACTTGGCTAAGAACATCGTTGGTTCAAGATAGGTTCAGCGATTTTTTAATACTATATATTGAAATAGATATATCGAAAAATATAAAAAATTATGATATTTTGAATATCTTTACTGGTAAAAATATATATTTGTTATTAAAATAAAATATTAATTATTTTTAAATATATGTTATTTAGTGTTTTTTTAATAAAATTTAAACATATCTATATTTTTAATAGTAATAAGTTTTACTTGTGCATAGGAAGGGGTTGTGGGGACGAAGCCCCTGTGGGTTATTTTATATTGAATTATTATAGTTCAACCAAATATCTGCCTATGTCGGTTGACTGACATTCTAATGTACTTTGAAATGTGTAAATTATAGAGGTAATTTTTCTAAATTTGTATAATATTTTGTATATTTTATATTTTCTTAAAATCATTGAAGTAAAATTATTGTTTTGTTTTATAAATATGTATAATTTTATACTTTTTTTTTGTACATAGGCTATTCCCGATTTGAAAATTGTGAATAATTTACCAGCTATATCTATGGAAGAAGTAGCTCCTACAACTACTACTGATGCATCATTATTAGCTCCTGAAGAAATACAAAGTTTATACATTATTTCTAAATGTTAAATTATTAAAGAAAAATGGTTTGTTTAATTTTTTTTTTGTAATCATTTTAGGTAAATTCCAAGCACCAATTCTTGGGAGAGAAGAACGTACTAGTACAGATAAAAAGCGTGAGCGACGAAAAAAGAAGCATTTGCAACATAAAAAACGTATATTCAAGGAATCTAAAGCCAAAGAAATGGAAAAACGTGGTATTAAACCAAATAAAAACAAAGAAAGTGCATTAAAAGAATTGAAGCGTTTAACAAGCAGTGGACATCAAGTCAAAGAAGTAAGAATTATTCATAGATTAAAATTAAATTTTTTCTCTATTAATGTAATAATTTATTTCAGTTGAAATCTGTTGATGATAAAAGTATGAAAACATCTACAGACTTCTTTTCTAGACTACAGGATCAAGCCAAAAATGAAATAAACGGGAAGAAAAGAATTAAGAAAGAAAATGATAAAAATAATTCTAAAAAGTTTAAAAAGTGAATGATAATTTTGCTAATGAAATATTTTTGTTAATATATTATAAACTAATTTTTATGCTTTTATAATTTTTGGGTTTTCATTAAAATGATTATTTTTAGAAAAGTCAATAATTAAATGTCATTAATGAACAAAAATTTTATTTATTTTTTGTTGAAATTGACATGTTGTTACTAAAACAAACGGGTATAAAAATAATATATACAAAAGAAAACAAATTAATGTATTGCCATATAAGGTTTATTTGTTTTAATCACAAGTAAGATATTTAAGATTTTTTTTTATTTGAATGAAATGTAATTTTAGTTATAGTTGTAAATTATGCTTTTCCAGCTTTTTGTTTTTCCTTTTCTAAAGTCTTAGCTTTAGCTCTTTCATACAACGGTACCAACTTGCCATCTTTGGCTAACAATTTCAATATTTCTACAATTAATGGCAGATAATTATGTTTACGCCGAGCATTTTCAATTTTGTATCGTTTCATTTTGTCTACTTCTTCAGAAATTTTATCACGGATATTATTTTCTTCAGCTAATTTAGTTGCTTCATCCTAATTTAAACAACGATATAATGTATCATTGACCTTAATGTGTAAAAAAAAAAAAAAATATTATCGTACCAGCTCCTCTGTTTGCAAACTCAAAAGTTGTTTTTCCAAAATTAATTTCCTGTCTGATACTACTGCCATTAAATTAAAGTGCACTTCTCCTTCTTTATATCTAATTTATAACAACAAATAAATGATATTAAAAAAAAAAAAAAATTACATATTAGAAGGAAGGGGGGCCTTACTTATTTATTCTTTTTTCAATAAATGGTTTGGCTGCCTCAACCCAATCTGTATTGGGTTTTATTAATCCTAAATCAATTGGACCTTCTTTCAGTCCATCTAATTCATAAAGACGACCTTCAATAGGTACAATGGCAACAAAGTGATAAGCTTCATCACTTTTTGATTTTGGCTTAGCAGAATCATCAAACTCAAAAATAGAATTACTCCTAGTAACAATAATCAAATATACATATGCATTTTTTTAAATAAAAAAAAAAAAAGTTAATGAAATACCTTCCAAACGAATTATGTACTGTACGTATTTTTTGTGAATTACTCAACGCTAAACCTTTCATGTTAGCATCAAACTTTTGAGAGAATTCCTTAAATTCACTTAATGTTGTACCAAGGTCAATATCAGGATGACGACAGTTAAATAATACACTTAAAATAGCTTGCGTAGCACAAGCATTATTAATAACCTGAAAAAAAAAAGATAAATCAATTAAGAAAAATATATTTTTTTCAATACAATAAATTAGTTTCTAATTGAATGAGAGAATATAATTTCGGAACATAGCAAAAGTACTGTTTTAATGATTTTAAGAAAAACAACTAAAATGTTTTATTAGAAATTATCTCTAAATCTCAACCTGAATTTTTTTTATTTCAAGGTATTACAACTGGTAAATTTTCTAAGTCCAGATAGTAGATAATTATAATTTGTAATTTAAAAATAACTGAATTATGTAATTTATGTAAAACAAATTATTATTGGATAAATTTCAACCAAAATTGGGTATTGCTGATAATAGTATACAGCTACATAATTGTTAGTATTAAAAATACATTGTTAAAAAAAAATATTCAAAAAATGTACATTCACAATTCACTAGATTTGTTGTAATCTATAACGATTATTATAAATATTAACTTTTACATCTAATTTAAACTTAAAATGTATACTATCTGTATTATGTTATATGATCTAAAAGTACTGTACTGACCTGTTGAGCAAAAAATATTTTCTCGATTCTCGAATCCCTAACAATGGGACCGTCAGGTTGGTCTTCTCCGATCCACCGGAAGAGAAATATTAAACCATGCACAGGCCTAAAAAAGATAATAGTATATAAATAATATAATTTCAATGAATCAAACAACAAGTAAGAAAATGTCCTCACTTAATTGTATTAAACAGGCTGCTGTCCAACGTCCACAATTCTTCAACTTGAGCTCCAGACACGCCTGAAAAAGAAGACGCACAAACTCGAAGTAAATTATAAGTAACACACGGAAATCGTGGATCACCTCGGTAGGTATTTTCGTTTTACCTAGTTCGCGAATCAGTTCAGTGAACACGCCAGGATCGCTTTCGATCAGACACCAACCCGCAGTATCCGACATTGCAACAGTCGGGACGACAATGGGAGATTCAAATATGGATTGGCCGAAGAACGTAGCGACAAACAAACACAGTGATTAATGACAAACCGAATATTTCGTTCAGCGGTGTTACAATTTTTATAAATCTTGCTGCACGTTCGTCACTGATAATGTCACGACGGGAAGATAAAACGTATCGCACGAGTTGTGCCCTTATAGGTATCAATTGAAAATTTAAACGCTGATCAAACAATTCGGCCACGGACTACGAATCGCGATTAGCGAATTGCCGAACATCTCCCGGCCGAATTTACAATTCCAAACAATAATATTGGTGTTTAATGTTTGTTGACATGAAGTTAGTGACGGAGAACGGGGCAACGGTGCTAACGTCAGACAATAGTTTCGGCAGTACCTAATAATAATAATAATAATGCAATTGCAATTTTGTTCCTCCAGAACTATTAAGACCTTGTACGATGACAACTAGCGCTCGGGGCTGTCTATAATACGGGCATTATCGGCAGTATATGGATCATATCTAGGGACGTAGTATCGAAAGAAAAGTATCGATATTCTTACTTGGTATAGAAACGAATGAAAAACCGATATGAGTAAAATATAGAAACGCAAGGACCGATATGAGTAAGTATCGAGAGAAAAGTATTGATCATTTTACTTCTTCGTATCGTCGTATCGAATCGAGTTAAAATAATAAGGGTAAAAATATAAAAACGACCGATATGAATATATCGGTTTCTATTGAAACCTATTGACGCTATTCTATTGTGGACTATGGTTTCTAGTCCGTGTAAGTAACAATATAATCGTATAGAGTATAGACTATAGTGTGATGACTGATATATGTAAACAAATCCACCACCACGCGCACAAACCATTTTATTAGAAGACAATTATTGTACGAAACCATTCGAGTATTTTGATTTTTGAACCAATATGGCGATTAGTAATTGATTCAATACTGTTTATTCGAGACCAGTATTATCTTATCGATAAAAGTATCATAACCATGGTATCGAATACAATAAATACTTGTATCGAACGAAAAGCATCGATACTTTTTTTGGTATCGGTAGTATAGCAACATTCATAATCACGTGGTCTTTTCCGTAAATTGTTGTCTTTTGGTGGACGCCGATAGTATGATTATGTTGCTGTAATGTTTCAAACATCGTGTTTCCACGTCAACCAATCTTGTCCAACATTATTTCATAGCGGTCCAGCTACAGGTCAGTGACTAAGTGTACCATTTGGCCAGTAGAAGAGGAACAAAGTCAAAACGTCACACATGGTATGCCAGAACTTGCGTCCTATTCCCTCTAGACAGGCCTTTACAAATTTTTTTACTTCTTCAACGACTAAAATGTCAAATCTTAAGCATAATGACAATTTGAGAAAATGTATGTAAATATTAAACTTTATCTTCCATTTAAAATAAGAAAATAATTATATATATTTGTAATACCATACAAGGTAAAAAATATCAATAAATAATTTTATATCCCTCTTGAACCATGTACAACAATTATTGATCATTAATCTTTTTCAGAAATTCTCCTGTGCAGAGTGTCCTTGATACAGTGATATAGCATTTGGAAAGTAGTGGTGTAACCAGAGTGATCCAGTAGAAGCTATTATATCGAATTAAAATATTATTATTTGATTATTAAATGAGAATAATAATACAAAGATTATAAATTTATTTAGAATTTTTAAATTTAATTTATAAATAGTTAGATATAAAGCATAAATTTAAATATTTTATTAGATTTTTATAGTATTTAAAATAAATAACAAAATTATCATATTTATACCATTTAAAATTAAAAAGGGGTCCCCAGCTCCTGGAGGAATTTTGATTTAGGTAGATGAAAAGAAAAAAAAATTAAATGAAATTAGAAACAAAATAAGATTGATTAATTTGATCAGAATTATATTTTATAATGTCAAGTCGGATTTATTAAGAAATAAAATTATAAGTTAATTTCAATCATAAATTCAAAAGTTTTAACATATTTTATATAAATTAAATGAATTTAATTTTTATTCCGTTAAATATTTTAAGTGTAAAATTCAAAAACTAAAATGAAAAGGGGATCCCCGGCTCCCGGAGGAAAATTGATTTGGGTGGATCCAAAAAAAAAATCCAGGTTCTGAAAAAGAAAACATAAAAATAAATGAATAAATATTTGAATATTTTGAAACAAAATAAGATTGATTAATTTAAATTGAATTATAATTTAAATTTATGAGCAATATTTATTAAGAGTAATAATTATTAGTTAATTTTAATCAAATGATTTAAAAGTTTCAAGATATTCTATGTATATAAAATGAATTTGATTTTTATACCATTAAATATTTAAAGTATAAAATACAACAAAAAAAATTATAAGTATGTACCAGGCTCTCCAATGACACTTCCTTTGGGTAAAAACAAAGAAAAATACAAGTTCTGAAAAGAAACATATCAGATATATTAATATATTTTATGTAAATTAAATGAATTTGATTTTTATACCATTAAATATTTTAAGTCTAAAATTCAAAAACCAAAACGAAAAGGGGATCCCCGGCTCCCGGAGGAAAATTGATTTGGGTGGATCCAAAAAAAAAATCCAGGTTCTGAAAAAGAAAACATAAAAATAAATGAATAAATATTTGAATATTTTGAAACAAAATAAGATTGATAAATTTAAATTGAATTATAATTTAAATTTATGAGCAATATTTATTAAGAGTAATAATAATTAGTTAGTTTTAATCAAATGATTTAAAAGTTTCGAGATATTCTATGTATATAAAATGAATTTGATTTTTATACCATTAAATATTTAATGTATAAAATTCAACAAAAAAAATTATAAGTAGTTACCCGGCTCTCCAATGACACTTCCTTTAGGTTGAATGGATAAATATCCATGATCTGAAATGAGACATATCATACTTTTTAAGATTTTAATATTATTAGTTAATTTTAGTCATACGATTTAAGAGATCTAAATTATTTTATGAAAATCCGATGAATTTGATTTTTATTCCATTAAATATTTAATGTTTAAAATTTAACAAAAAAAAAAATTAAAAGTGATTACCTGGCTCCTGAAAAATCCTTGGTTAGGTTACATATGTTGTTGATACAAAAAAGAAAATCCATGTTCTGGAATTAAATATAAAAACTAAAGCAATTGAACACAACATTAAAAAATAATTGGGAATAAACCAAAAAATACCTTTCATTGAAATAGACAAATATATCCAATACCACATAAAGCAACAATACATCAAACAAATACCTAAAACAAATCACAAAAAAAAAAAAAAATCCGAAGAACAAAACCAAGAATATTAAAGTAAAAATCATATTCCTATTTAGTAGCAAAAATTCAGTACTATTCAATACTAAATAAGAAACAACCAAAAAAAAAAAAAAAAAACCAAGAAATACCTCTCATAAAACTAACAACAAATAAATCTAATACTATAAAGAGGACAATCAATTAAACAAGTAACTAATGCCAATCACAAAGAAAAACCGATGAACAAAAAGATTACCAATAACAAACAGTACAACTATATCCCTAAATCAAAGTCAAAAGAGTTGAACAACTGGTCAGATATTCCTACAAACAACCAAACAAGAGCTCGGGACCCCGGGTTCGCTAAGACCCGTAAACACGTAAGAACGTGTTTCCCTGGGGGATAACAAATCCCTATACAAATCACAATAAGACGCCGAAAAACACAAACAGACCTATAACAAACGGTAAAAACTTTTACCTAAACCGAAACCAAAACAGTTGAACAGCTGGTCAGAAATTCCTACAAACAACCTAACAAGAGCTCGGGACCCCGGGTTCGCTAAGACCCGTAAACACGTAAGAACGTGTTCCCCTGGGGGATAAAAAATCCCTAAACAAATCACAATAAGACGCCGAAGAACACAAACAGACCTATAACAAACGGTAAAAACTTTTACCTAAACCGAAACCAAAACAGTTGAACAGCTGGTCAGAAATTCCTACAAACAACCTAACAAGAGTTCGGGACCCCGGGTTCGCTAAGACCCGTAAACACGTAAGAACGTGTTCCCCTGGGGGATAAAAAATCCCTAAACAAATCACAATAAGACGCCGAAGAACACAAACAGACCTATAACAAACGGTAAAAACTTTTACCTAAACCGAAACCAAAACAGTTGAACAGCTGGTCAGAAATTCCTACAAACAACCTAACAAGAGCTCGGGACCCCGGGTTCGCTAAGACCCGTAAACACGTAAGAACGTGTTCCCCTGGGGGATAACAAATCCCTAAACAAATCACAATAAGACGCCGAAGAACACAAACAGACCTATAACAAACGGTAAAAACTTTTACCTAAACCGAAACCAAAACAGTTGAACAGCTGGTCAGAAATTCATACAAACAACCTAACAAGAGCTCGGGACCCCGGGTTCGCTAAGACCCGTAAACACGTAAGAACGTGTTAGGTTACAATATAATCCCTAAATTGAAACCAGAATATAAATACTATTCAACACTTACTACAAAACATCTAAATAATATAATAAACTAAATATTAAAATCTAACATAAAAATACACATAAAATATATACAAATCCAAAACGCCAACAGTACACCAAACAAAGACCTATCAATAATCTTAAATCAAAAACTAAAAGAACAACAAATCAACAAGACATAAAACCATAAAAAGGAACTACCTAAATATAAACCATGCCTTAGATACTATTCGACACGATCTACAAAAAAGCCTAGAAAAAGTACCTAATAAATATCAAACATAAAAATATACATAAAATATATACAACTCCAAAACACCTAGAGTCAAGAGTACAACAAACAAAAACCTATCAAAAATCTTAAAACAAAATCCAAAAGAACAACAAATCAACAAGACATCACACTGTTAAAAGATAATCCTTAAATTGAAACCAGAACATAAATACTATTAAACACTTAGTACAAAACATCTAAAAAATATAATAAACTAAGATATACCTATCATAATATAGACAAAAAATTACAGTGAACACCAAAACGATAAATATTTATTAAGCAAATACCAATTAAAAATCTTAAAACAAATACCAAATGAATAATAAATCAACAAGACATTAAACAGTATAAAGGTAATACCTAAATAAAAACCAAAACTTAATAACTATTCAACACTGAGCACAAAATATTTAAACAATATAATAAACCAAGAAATACCTATCATAAAATAGACAAAAGATATATCCAACACCAAAAAGACAAATATACATAAAAAAATTACCAATCAGAAATCTTAAAACAAATACCAAATGAACAATAAATCAACAAGACATCAAACCGTAAAAAGAAGATCTCTAATTAGAAGCCAAAACAAATAACCAGCTGTTTAACCCTACCAACAAACAACCAAAAATAAGTAAGAATTACCGAACATAAAATTACACATAAAATATATACAACACCAAAACGACAAATTTGCATCAAACAACTAGCTTTCAAAAATCTTAAAACAAATACCAAATGAACAATAAATCAACAAGACATCGAACAGTAAAATGATAATACCGAAATAAAAACCAAAACTTAAATATTATTCGACACGACCTACAAAAAAGCATAGAAAATGGACCAAATACCAAAAAAAATAAATCACATAATATATACATATATATATATCTCCAAAAAGCCAAAAGTACAACAAACAAATACCTATCAAAAATCTTAAAACATAAACCAAAAGAACAACAAAACAACAAGACATCAAACCGTAAAAAGATCTTTAATTATAAGCCAAACAAATGACCAGCTGTTCAACCCTACCTACAAGAAACAAAAAAAATAATTCAAGATTTAAGACTCATAAACACAGACAAAAAATATTTCCAACACCGAACGCCACAATTCAGCAAACTTATACCTAGCAAAAGTCATAAAAAGGATCAGCCAAAAAACAATAAATAATCTTAAATCAAATAGTAAAATGAGAATTCCTCATTAAAAGTCAGCACATAATTAATTTTCTACACTACATAGTTAAAAAACCAAAAAATATATAGAAAAACCACTGTTAGTTATAAAAAACAAAAATATCCAACTCTAGACAAAATTAAGATTATAAAATTTTAAATAATTAAATTCTTATTGAAAGCCAAAACACAAGTCCTATTGCGCTCTTCCTAGTAAATACATTATAAATAAAAAAAAAAATACTTAAATATAGATAACTCCAATCTTGTTTCCATTACTCTTCTCAATGTAATTGATGAATTCCTGAAAAATAGTTTTTTGAAAAAAAAGTTTCAAGATATTTTATGTAAAGTAATAAATTTGAATTTTATTCCATTAAACGTTTAATGTATAAAATTCAATAAAAAAAAAATATAAGTGGTTACCCGGCTCTCAAAGGACACCTCCTTTAGATTGAAACGATTCAAAATCCAAGTTCTGAAAAGAAACATAACATATAAATTAAGATTTTATAATTATTAGTTAATTGTTGTCGTAGGATATAAAGATATAAAATATTTTATGTAAATTAGATGAATTTGATTTTTATACCAATAAATATTCAAAGTGTACAGTTCAGAAGTAGAAATGAAAAGGGGATTCCCGGCTCCCGGAGGTAAATTGATTTGGGTCGATTCAAAAAAAAAAATCCAAGTTCTGAAAAAGAAACATAAAAATAAATGTATTAAAATTAGCCACAACACAAGTCCTATTGCGCTCTTCCTAGTAAATCTATTATAAATAAAAAAAGTAATACTTAAATATAGATAACTGCAATCTTGATTCCATTACTCTTCTCGATATACTTGATGAATTCCTGAAAAATAGTTTTTTATGATGATGAGGTGGTTGCCCACCGATCAACCCCCAACCTGGAGGATCAGCCAAAAGGGTCTGTAAATTCCCTAGATAGATTGTTAGGAATTTTTCTGGATAAAGAAAATAGATTATTGATAGAAATTTATCTAGATAATAATAAGAGATAAATTTAATTTTCTAGTTAAAAATATAGATAAGCACCTTTTTTTATACTAATTCATACATACTATGCAGTTGTATAGCCAGAAATCTCCTGTTAGAATTAACTAATAACTTTCAGATTCATTAAATAAATAAATGGAAAAAACAAAATTCAACAATTATTGGATATTAAGTACTATCAAGATATATTTTATACTTGTGGCTGCTTCAAATACCTATCGTATATTCTCTATATTTATGTATTTATATAGGTACATTATCCCCGCGGTAGACTGAAAAAACGGTAGTTAGATGTAGTCAAAAGAGACCCGTAGGAGTTGAGACCAGACTGGCATGGGGACCTACATCTCGTATATAATAGAGAGGAGTGAAAAAATTTAGTATTGGTAACAAAGGGCCTAAAAGGTCTATAATGTTAAAAAAAATAATCATTATTATGGTTTTCGAACACGAAATGTAAAAATGTATTTAAGTACCTACTTTAACATAAAATAAACTTTAACTTATACATAGAAAAATATCTAGATAACTTAATTTAGATAACTGCATTTTTCATCCAAGATAAAAAAAAAGATGATCAGTAGAATTTTATCTAGATAAGATAATAGATAAAAATATTTTCATCTTGATAAGTCCCAACACTGTAAACGAATAAATTTGTAACGGGACAGAATTGTTTATCTGCCGTTAGCCATCACTCGTGTTACCCTCACGGCATAATAATAAACCAAAATGGTAACCAAAAATATTAGGATATAACAATGTATTGTTATTTGAAATATGAATTAAATATTAAAAATTGTGTCTTATAACAATAATTTATATTTATAAATACTTCGCAATCGCGATAAAAGAAGTACGTTAAACAGGCTTAGTTTCTTGATGCCTGAAAGCCGATGGAAATATAATTTATATTATAATTTTAAACATTATTTATGTACTAAAAAAAATATAAGAAATATTATTAAGAACATTATACTTTACATTATAACAAAAAATGAATGCTTTAATGACAAAAGAAAAAATTAGAAGGTGTATTCAGAAATCTAGAGACTACTTACGCAGACGAAACAAAAAACAAAAAATTAAATAATGATAAAAAAAATTACTAATACTATTAAATTTATAAATTTAGAGTATTAATAATTTAAATGTTTTGTATTTACAACAATTTATTTTAATTATGAAAAGTATTAACCGATGGAATACTAAGGTCTGTTAAAGTTGAAAAAGTTTTTATAAACCCTCATTTAAGTTTCAAAACGATTTTTACTAAAATTATTACTCTATAGTGCATACTAGAATATAACTATCTACAAATATAACAATATATTTTTATTTGAAATATAAATTAAATATTGAAAATATACTACATTTTACAACATCAAAATCATATTTTTAAATATTTTTCAGTCGCAATAAAAGAAGTAAGTAAAAAAAGTTTCCTTGTGCCTGATGACCAGGAAATATATAAATTATGTCATAATTTTAAACATTATTTATGTACTGAAAAAACATAAATAAATGTATTAACAACATAAATTTAAATTGTTAATAAAAACGAATACTTTAATAACGAAAGAAAAAATGAAAAGGGATCTAGAGATTACTCATGCAGATGAAACACAAAAATATATTTAATAATAAAAAATAAATACCAATTCAAATAAATTGAAATTTAATTTATAAATTTAGAATATTAATAATTTAACTAAATAAAGAAAGGAGAAAAATGTATTTAAGTAATGGAAAAATATTATTTACATAACAAAGAATACTTAATAGTTTTAAGTAAAATAAGGTTATTTAATGGATTAAATATAAAAAAATTAAGTCGAAGCTTAAAAACATAAATTTGACCATTTTTTTTATAATTATAGTTGTTATTCAAAATAAAAATGATGTACCGTTATTCCTGGGAGTAAGTAGATAAGTAATTGTCACTAGTAAGTTTATTTCACTTTTAATCGGCTCCTAAATTTCGGCTATTTACTCTAATAAAAAGAAAAAGAAATAATAATTAATTTTTTTATTTTATTAGTATTAATATATATAATGGGCAAGAATTATAAAAAACATAATTTGTAAGAATGACAATTATTAACAAACGTGAATAGAATAAGACAAGTAATATTAGACATAGATTATCTGTCTCATCATTGCTCCCATCACAGTAGGGCGCCAAAAAATATTATTTAAATTTAAATGTTTTTTATTTATAAAAATTTATTTTAACACATTAACCGATGGAATACTATGATCTGTTAGGTTGTAATAGTTTATATACCCTCTCATTTAAGTTTAAAACGATTTTTCCTAAAACTATTAGGCTATAGCTCATATTAGGATATAACAATGTATTGTTATTTGAAATATGAATTAAATATTAAAAATTGTGTTTTATAACAATAAATAATATTTATAAATACTTGTCAATCGCCATAAAAGAAGTACGTTTAAAAAGGCTTAGTTTTTTAATTTATTTGTTATTAATATTAATACTCATATACTCTTGGCAGTAATCATAAAAAATGTAATTTTTACGAATGTAATGATTTAACAAACCGAAATAGAATATGACAAATAACATTGAACATAGATTAGCTGTCTCATCATTGTTTCCATTACGGTTTGTTAATCCGTGTGCCGCGGAATATTATTTAAATGTAGAAGTTTTTATTTAGGTACAACAATTTATTTTAATTATAAAATGACATTAACCAACTTAATACTAAGGTCTGTTGTAGGTTTAATAGTTTCTATTTACCCTTACTTGAATATCGTTTCGATTTATTTATTTTTATATATTTCTAACTATTTTTCTTTAGCGTGTGCGAGAATAGAAGGATCAATATAGCGATTTATTTGTTATTCATAACATGGATGAAATATTTCTCATTCAAATTTTTTTGAAAATTCTGATGCTTCACGTTTATATATCCAAGCAAGTTGTTAGGCTTTGTGTTGCCAATGTCTTCATTTGAAGAGGTTTTCTTTTCTTTTTTTATTCTTTCCTCGACCCTGCTGTGTATTAAGTTACCCAGAACACCACTGCGCGTATTTTTAATGTCGTGTCCTTATCGGTCCAATTCAATTTTTTGACGTATTTCTAATATGAATATAATTTATTATCAATAAGCTCATTGTTTTATTGTTTTAATCATGAAGACTAGGTATATCTATAGATAAATCTCTACTTTTCATGGTTTTATTATTAATCAATTATCAATCAAGTACTTTAATAATAAAGGATAACTTGCATCATCTAAATACTTTCTTTCATTTGTTTTATTATATTTTATAACATGAATACATATTATATACAGTATTTTCAGTACTTATACGTACCTACCTGTAGTGACACAGTACCCTTTTTGTGAAATTACTTAAATCAACAAAAACATGACAAGTAGTAAGACTAATTTTAAGTAGATATGCTCTTCAATTTTGAATATTAAAAACAAAATGAAGCAGAGAACATAAACACGAATAAATAATTTTGTCATGTCTGTCAAGAATCATTTGATGATTCAAAAGCTAATAAAATATCTATCCATGAACGATATGAACATAACGACCATGATGAAAAAATTTAACTGAAAAAGGATGTTTTAAATTTGAATATACAGTCTAATGATTAAGGTGACATTAATTTAGGTCCAAAATAACCTAAATTTCAAGTAAATAAAAAATACTTAAATAATAAATTATTTATAATTTGAATAAAACAAGAAATAATTCGATTCTTAATTAATAACATAATATATTAAATAGTTGTAATATATTGTATTACATTATTTTGTTTTACAAATAATATATTGAAGAATTAATATTTTTTAGATATTTCCATTAACAACATTTTGAACTCAGAATATAAGTATGAATGCTAAATACTACAGTGAATTTTAATGGCTAGAATATATTTTTTGCTTTAAATGTATTCATTCTTTGCAGAAAATTTAATAAAAACTAGATACAATATTGGAAAAAGTTATTTTTTTTTACTTGAGTATTTATTTATATAAATTAAAAATAATTATTGCTTATAAATTATAAATCATATAATTTTTTAGTGTTCAATCTAGAATAAGAGACTTACACCCTGAAGCAGTTTTCATTCATCGTATGGCTTTTAAATTGAATTTGGTTACAACATTTACTTGTAGAACCATAAGGTGCATATACAAGGAATTTATATCTAAATATATCTTTATATCCAAGGTTTTGACACAAATAAAACAAATTACAATTATCAAAATTGGTCTTCTTGTGCATGTTACGTATGCTATATTGGATGAAATTATAAGACACTTTAAGTTAATGATTTAAAAGAGAGTTAAGCGCTTGCAAATTACTCTATTAAAAAATAAAAAAAATAAATTACTCTCAACTACTTAAAATTAGTTTTACTACTTGTCATGTTTATGTTGATTTAAGTAATTTCACAAAAAGGATACCTGTAACTGTGTCACTATGTACAATACCTACTGTACATAATATGTATTCATGTTATAAAATATAATCTTAAAACAAATGAAAGATAGTATTTAGATGATGCAATTTATCCTTTATTATTAAAGTACATGATTGATTAATAATAAAACCATGAAAACTAGAGATTTATCTTTAGATATATCTAGTCTTCGTGAATAAAACAATGTACCCTTTGATAAAAAATTACGCCGATATTAGAAATACGCCCAAAATTGGACCGATAAAGACACGATGTTAAAGAGACGCACTGTGGCGTCCTGGGTAACTTAATACGCAGCAGTTTTGCGGAAAGAATAAAAAAGAAAAGAAAACCTCTTCAAATGAAGATATTGGCAACACAAAGCGTGAAAACTTGCTTGAATATATTAACGTGAAGCATCAGGATTTTTAAAAATTGTTGAATGAAAAATAGTGCATCCATGTTATGAATAACAGATAAATCGCTGTATTGATCCTTCTATTCTCGCACACGCTAAAGAAAAATAGCCAGAAATATTTAAAATTAAATAAATAGAAACGACATTCAAGTAAGGGTGAATAGAAACTGTTAAACC